ATTGCTTATCTTAATGAGTCAGAAGAGTTTTTGTGGATGTTTGTCGGGGGAGGTACTATATAGTACGCATAAATGTATAATGGAGAACGAGGGACCTGCTGCTGCTGCTTTTGCTGGAGTGGGAGACAATTGTCTGGGAAAGGTGCCATATGGCCATATGGTTTGGTAGCCTTGGGGCCGTGTTAGATACGAGATATATTTACTGCATTTGCGTGTGAATGTAATTCACGAATGTCACCTGCCACCGACAGATGGGGAAACCAAAGTCTTTATTTGACTTTGACTGTCCAAATTATATTCTCAAATATCAGTCGGATTTTCGGTAATTATTTGTTGTACTTTATTAATAGCTTTTAAAGCACCACCAAAAATATACCTTTTTTATTCTCCAATTACAGCCGCATATTTGGTAATTATTTTAGAGAAGGTATCAGTTTCTAGGGTTTATTTTTCAAGTGTCATCATTGGTAATTGTTTGATAAAGTAATCACGTGATAAGAGCTCTTGAATAATTAAGTAATTTGTATTAGTTATTGGGGTTATAATTCATAATTCCATTATAAAAGATTCAATTTAAAAGATTAGCATATGATTTCATAAGTTTAAAATGTTCATTAACACTGCCTTGTGGTTTTATTAGTAAGTTATATAGACGTTTCTGAGTATGATTAAATGTTTTCAATTCATTTATTGATTTATCCGGACTTTACAAGCAAAATAAACAAATACTCTTTGAAATATTTTTAATTTATATTTATAATACCTCTCAATATATCCAAATTAAGTTTAAAACGTTCACCCCTTCAACCGGTTAATTACCAAATTTCAAAATCATTAAAAATCACAGACTTAAACATGATAGTAATCAAGAGAGGAGGAACTCAATAGGAAGCTTGTGTTTTGCTGCACATAAAAAACTCAACAACCACTGTTGGGGGTAAAAAATAAAATAAAAACCCGATAAAACATCCAATCATCATATCAATATATCCAGATGTTTCACTAGCTTTAGTCATTCGATTCCAGAACACTTAAAAATGTCATAACTTAGGACCAATAATTACCGAAAGCAGTCGCAAATGGGAGGGCACCAAAATAAAGACATAAAGATAGCAACGAGGGGAAGCAAGCTAACAGCGAACGAGAAATGCAAATTGAATTGAAAACTAATTAAAGATATCTACACACACACACACTCACAGGCACACCCCATTCAGATACAGATACGGATACACAGCTGCAGATACGCGATATGGAGATACGAATATACATAACGACAATTAAAAAACCAAAAAAGCCAAAGGAGAATACATCGCCGAAATACGAATGGCTGCAAAGGAAACAGAAGCAGAAGCAAACAGCAGGCTGAAACAGTGAAACAGTTATCAGTTTTCAATTAACAACATCGTGTTATGTCGCTAGACGTATCTGTATCTTCCAGATACAACGCACAATGCCGAAAATAAAAGCAACCAATGCAAGTGATAAAATTACAGACACTAAAAGGCAACTTCTTATTGGGGTTATTGTGGCCAGAAATGTATCTATATTTGACGTAAATATAGTATTTTTAAGGGTGAGGTACTCTGACTCATGGAGCCACAAAAACTAGCAAAGATAAGACTTTAAAATTTAAAACAAGTCTATCAATTTATATATTACTTTTTAAAATATTACTTATACCCTGAATACTGTTCTTATTCGCCTTTTAAAGATTAAAGGTTTTCCCGATCTAATTACATCTTCAATTAATATACAACTCTGTCGCACGCGACTTCCTTGTGGCAACTGTACTTCCGGTGTCAGCTGTTGCCGGGCTTAGTCTCCCATTAAAACCGATCGTGTGTACGTGAATGTGTGAACGAGTGTGCCTCGAATATCTAAACGATAAACTCGAGTCACAGAAACAGAAACAGAAACCGAAACAGAACTTACGACACACTCGCATAGATTTATTAATGAAACCTAGGCGATGCGATGGAGGGATTGGAAGCTAACTGGGGCTTGGCGCCTGCCCGCACACACATAGTTTCTTTTTCGATGAGCGATTTTGGGCCAAGCCTTGACAGGTTACGGAAAACTTCGATAACGATAACGATAATGCCAGAGCACTTGAAAACTGCGTCGATTAATGGTAATGGGACAGGCCGTGCGATGATAACACTTGTCTAAAAATAAATGCTGTCGAATGCTGTCAAAATAATCCAAAATCGAAATCGAAAATGGTTCGATGAGAGTATTATAACTTGGCCAAAAGCAAAAACAAAAAAAAACAGCCTTACGCCCACACATAGCAAACACCCAAAAGACTCAGACTCGATCGATTCACTATATATTCGAATTCAAAGACCAAAATTGGTTCACTTTGCGCAGGCGTAGCCGAATAAAAAAAAAGAGTGAGAAAAACGACAGAAAAACAGCGGGAGAATCGGGTTTAAAAATATCCACAAAACAATTGTAAATAATAGAAAACCGTAAGCAAATATTATTTAATCGAGGCATTAACACGTCTTTCACATGGGGATTCAATGGCAACCATTACGATTCATCTAATCGATCCGCGGGGGCGTCATCTTTGCTTGTTCATTAGCTAGTTGCGAACTGTGAGTTTTTTCCTCCATTTTCAAATACTTTTTTCTTTTTTGTATTGCAGAGTTGGCTTAACTATTGTTGCTGCTGTTTTCTGGGCGAGCTTTTCCGTTACATGCAGTTTGGCCAAATTGTGTGTGGGCTAACTGGCTCAGGGCTAATTAAAACTCGGCAAATGGGGGATAAAAAACAAGTAAACTTTTCATTTCGCATGTGAAATCAACTTGGAGTCGGTTTTGGGCTTGGATTTGACTGAGGAATGGGAACATGGACTTGGACTCCACGGATTGTGGAGGTGTCTCCCACTCCATTTCCCTCTCTCACACACTGTCGGGGGCCTTACTTAATCCCAGACATCAATCTCAATTTATAAATATTCGTACGAGTATATATAAACACATATTTATTCGGCTCGTTAAGGTAAAACGAGTTTTGTTTTCAGTTTCATTGACAAGATCTTGGGCGTTTCTCTTATTGAATCAATTTCAATTGAAAGTAATTACAACTGAATCGCGTTGAGAATGAGGAGGAGAAGGTGGAGAGTGCTGACGCATTGTGTGCATTGTCAGTGTGAAATGTTTTGTATTTAAAAACGAGATCAGAGGGTTTTCCGGTAATAGAATTCTTGAGGTTTAGTTTAATAGAAGTTTAAAACATATTGTTTGAATTAGAAAACGATATACAGTACGCTTTTCAGAATCAAACCTTATTTTTTAAACTTTAAAGTTCAAAGTTTTATTGACAAAAAGCCAGGAAACCAAAAGACCAAGGCTAAAGCATCCTTAAAATCTTTAGTAAGATGGTATATTAGAGAAAAACACCGAAGTGTAACTTTTGTTTTTATAAGGCTTAGAAAGCAATACTTTCCATAACAAACCATCGATTTTGGATTTATACTTCTGCAAACTCTCAAAAGGAACTTTTTCATACACAATATGAAGTATGACAGGCTCCAATAATTATTTTATAAATAATACGTCATTGAGTGTAATTTTAAAAGGTTTCAAAGGAAGGCCTTACTTTAGTAGGTGATCCAAAACTGAGGCACCCATTAAAATCAAATTAAAAGTTGTTAAAACTTAAGTGATTTCTCTAATCTAAATCCATTGATCCAGCAAATGTTATATATTCCTCCCCTGATCTAAAATGTAATTTATTTGTGCATCCTTTGATCTGACAGTATCTCATTCCTTACGTTGTTGGCCACATCCCGTGAACTCCTCGCCGTAGGAACTTTATAATAGACATTCTCTCTGGGCACAATGCGACAAGTATTCAATAGACTCCATTTCAATGTGTGTGTGTGTGTTTTAGCCTTTTTGTTTAATGTTTTTTGTTGTTATTGTTGTTGTGCGGGACTAACAATGCCCTCGAGGCTGCAAAACGACGACATAAATTTCGATTTTTGCAGTTGTACGTCGCAATATGCACATAGTTCTGTGGGCCGACAAAAACTCCGTTGGCGGAACAGAAATAGAATTGCACACAAGTGACTGACAGACAAAACGGCAAAGCTGGCACAGAGACGGGATATATATATAGTATAAATGGGCTATATGGGAGACGGGGTTCATGGGCGGAGGCTGCCACCGTTAGTGCGGAATTAGCGCATAATAATGCCGCACCAGAGCAGCTGGGAGCATACAGTTTTGTGGACATTGCTGTGTAAGCCCCCAAGTGCAATGAACCGCCGAGCGGTGCTCTTTATGGATGGGGTGGGTGATGGGGGGTGGTGCCTCCCGGGGAGGGGAGAGTGCCACTGGTGCGAGTGGGTTGGCCAAATATTTGCTCAACATATTGCCCTTTTGAATGGAGCTATCAGTCGGTGGGATTACCTCAATTGCCCTACTACAGTGGGGTGGCTTGGATAGGAGGAAATTGCTTTGCAATTTCTAATTTGTTGTTTTCCAAAGAATCAAAACGAATCCAAAAACTCTCGGAAAGGTATTAGCTTAAAAATGAATAATATACTAAGACAAGTTTATGCTTTTCAAGGAGTTTGAATAGAAAAAGTTACAGCCACGCTACACCTACATACGTTAAAACAACTTATATATTTAAGACTATTTTACAAATTCCAATGATGTTGAAATAAATGCAATATTTATAAAAAAAGGCTTTTGTTCTTTAAATAAATTAGTTATTGTATTAAACTGTATAATTTTATGATTGGTGTAACCTTTTGACCAACTTCTTTAATCTATGCAAGAAATCCTTTATAATTATAATGCTTACTTGTAAACTGTCTTTTAATTATATTCAAACGTCTAATAATTATTACTTTTGAAATATCCAAAAGGATAAAATGTACAATTTCCTTAATATCCTAGCCACCACCATAGCTTTTTTATATAGCTTCTAAAAGTCCTTATTTATGATTATAAAAATTATGTAAAATGTATAAAACTCACCTGCTATCCGTAGAACGGCACGATCCGCCGGATCCAGCTGCAGGATGCTGAGCGGCTTGTCCTTAGCCCATTCGCTAAGGGATTCGCGATCCATCATGATGTTGGCGGCACTCCCCGTGGATGCATAGATCCGGCGACGCTGGCACAGCTGCTGCTCCGAATGATGCAGGCGCGGCTGCAGCTGCAGCGTGGGGCACGATGGCGAGGGCGACGATGGTGATGGCGACGGGGAATGGTGATGATGGTGCCCGTGATGACCGTGATGGGATCTGCCGCCGCCGAGGAGTGCCGCCTGCGGGGAATGTGGCGACTGCGGGGTGGAGCGTGAGCGGACGTAACTGCGGGGGGACGCCGTCTTGGCTGATTTTGTGGCGCGCGGCGGTGAGGATGGAGGACGGAGTACGGAGTACGGAGTACGGAGTACGAAGTACGGAGGATTGGATTCTTCTAGGACCGGCGACAGGTGGCTGTATAGGTTACAGGCCCTTGGATTGCACTCTCCACAACTTAATCCTAATCTTCTTAGCTATCTAGAATTGGGCTAGCAACATATTTGCTAAACTTTAATACTTCTTTTAACTGCAAGAAAAAAAAAATATGAAAACAAATAATGGTATCACTTGATATGTGAGGGAAATTAATCATTTTTTAGTTTTAGTGTAAAATGTACGGTTTTTTCAATTGTTTATTGTTTTTATTATAGTTTGGCACACTATCTTGTCTTTGATTTATTTGAAAACATCACAGAATCTTTGAAAAGTCGTTTTGTATACTTGTAATTTGCTATTTAGAAGTAGAAGCAGCACGCAACACAACAAAGAGCAATAAGTATATAATATTTTTTAATATATATGTGTTTTATTATTATAATTAATTTATAGTTTAAGCTTTCCCTCACAAAAATCACACTAATTTCCCATTAATACTTATTTCGAATTTACGCGCTCTTCTCTTTCGTTGCCAACTTTCAGGCTGTCCAGAAAAAGTTCCAGTTCGAAGTCAGCCTAAGGCACCTTTTGCTTATTTGCATATTTTGTGGGTGAAATAAATGCACATAAAAGGGGGTGAAGGAAGATGTGAGAGGCATTTCCATTGCCTTATCGCTGCGTTCTCATTCCGCGCCAGTAGGTCATTGGCAAATTAAGCGGAAAACAATGAGCGTCAAGAAATAAAATGCAAACACAATTGCTGATAATTGAGCCCAGTTTGGCAGTCACTGTGTCTCGGCTAAGTTTCTTTTCTTCGAGTTCGAAAAGCAATACCAATAATGAATGAAAAGACAACGGAAACTAACAACCGCAAAAACAAAAAAACAACAGCTGTGTGTGTGGATGTTTGCTTGTGTGGAAAGTGCAGCAAAATGTCAACAAAAACCGCAAAGAGAGGTGTGGAGATAGCAAGAGAGAGAGAGCGACCGGTTTTTTCCTATTAGAAGAGAATACGCATGCGCAAAGTTTTCACACCGGAAATAAAAAGGAAGAAAAAGAAAACTGTTTTTGTTAGACAGAGAGAGGTGCCACAGGTAAAGAGAGAGAGAGTGGGCGATGCAGCTGGCCAAAAGCCATAAAAGAAACGAGATGAAGATGTAGAATTGTTATTGCTTTTGACCCGTTATTGTGACTTGATTCTTCTATCGCGTTCTGCAATTCTCTTCCTCTATTGCCAATTACAGGCGCGGTCAAAATTATAGCAGTGAAATTTATTAATAATACCTTTGATATCTTTTATTTAAAACCATTCTTAAAGATGGAAAAACCCCCTTTTTCTTTTTAATAATAATATAAATAAAACCTCTTGACTTGTATAGACAATAAATAATACTCTTAGGTCTCAATATAAAATAAAATGAAGTTAACACGGAGAATATCAAGCATTCAAGGTTTAGTAACTCACTAAAAATGCATAAAAATAACCCAAAATCCTTGTTAAATAAATTTCTCCAATAAAATAACCTAATACCAAAATTCGCACTGCTAGTTTTTTGTCCGTATCTGTTTTCGTAGGAGAGGTGCTTGATCGTTTTGGCTTTCCGCTTCGGCTCGATGGCCAATTATCGCTGCTAAATTGAATTATTATTGGGTATATCGGCACCGGCTCGATTGCCGCGTGGGATCCAGCGACTCGAGGCTTTTATCAGCTGCTGCTGCCGCCGGCGGCGCATAAACAAACGCTAACTGTACAACTGTATGGAGCGTGAAGTAAAGTAAATCGTTCCATAAATGCCAACAAAGCGACTAAATTTGGAATCTCATAAATGGGGGAGCGAACCGAAATGGGGTGTTCGGGGGGGCGTGATCAGATTGCTAAACAGTGGCTGCCAAACTGCACCGGTAACTCACAGAACGCGGCAAACAGGTTGACAGACTGCTGACGGCCTTTGAATAATAAAAAAAAAGAGTTATCAAACGATACGAATGAAAAAACGGTTGTTTTTCGGCTTTTCTGGCGTTTTTGTTACCTTTCCTCTATGTGCGTGAGTCGGTTTGCTTATCAGCAGATAAGCAGGGCAATGTTTTTGATTGCGCCCATGCCTTGATAAGTCTCACAGCGCTTACGAAACTGTGATACTCTCGAGGGTTTCTTCTACAAAAATGAAATATTTGATTGCTTGTGGGACCGGATATTATAGGGGGAAATATGTATGGTATTGAAATGAGTAATAACGCTTATTTCTTGAGTTTGCAGTGGGATTTTTTGATTTTTTCTCTATTAAATAGCAAGTTTAAACTGTGAATATCTTAGAAAAAGTATCTGCTGAAACCTAACTTCTTCTCTTATTTTCTTATTTATATAATATATTAACTAAGGTTTGTTAAACCCTAGTGATTTCTACCATTTATAATAATACATTATTTAAGTATGTTTGCTAAGGCCCAGTGTACACTTTAAATATCATGACTCTCTATATAATATATTAACTATTCTTACATTTAAAATATTTCTTTTATAGCCTATATAAGCAATATTTAAAAGTACATTTTAGTTGTATTGTACAGACCCATAAAAATATGTATTGCTTTGATTAAATTACAAAAACCACTTGAGTTTTGAAATCTATAAAAAAAAACAATTTTCAAAACTAAACTACAAACTATATAGCAATAAAGAAATAAGTCTGAATTTGGTAAGCGTAGTAAGTTTATCTTTTAAACCTAAAAGCAATTTATTACTTTCTACTATTACCTGATGGTTGAGCTAATACTAAGAGATATACATACATAAATGTATGTTCTCCCATATTTATTTTTTAATTGGTAGGTTTTACGTTTAAGTAAGAATTATACGATCAATCTATTTATTTTTATCTGTATACCTGAACAACGGAACCTGAACCCGTGAGCCCGAATCCAATCCGAAACCTGACGCTGATCTAATCGAGGGGAGAGACCTTCTACTTTTTTGTATATTTTCAGCTGATTTACGATTCCTCCCTTCCGGCGTGTAAGACGCGGCAGTTCCACATTTAGTCTTAATTTGAACAAAGCCACTCGGAATTAAACTTGCAAATTAGCTGCGCAAATTGAACGAAAAATAGCGAATGAAAACGAAATCGAAGAGAGACAACAAACGACAGTCGACCGATAGTAGCTCGCATTGCCCTCAAACTGAGCGTTGTTTCAAATTAGCAGCAGCAGCAGCAGCAGCAGCAGCTGTTGTGACAGTAAAAATAAAACAAATGCGGTGCCGGCCAAAGCAAAAATACACACACAACACACAAGAGTTGAAGGCCAAGGGCTTGTGGCAATAAAACTACTTGGCTGCAGTCTAAGGGATTCAATGCAAACGGAATGCGTCTAGACTTTAGGGTCTAGACTCTAGACCGACAGACTTCTTGTGCTAGAACTGCCAAGCGAAATTCCCCTTGAAGAATTAAATCTTTCAGCAAATCATCGAAGAATGTTTAAGGATTGAAATAGCAGAGGTATTCTAAAAGAATACGCCTTTAGACCTATTTTAGATGTAGCAAAACCTTTAATACTTTTAAATTTAAGTCGTTCCATTTTTCCATGTAGGAATACCGTTTAGCGCATGAAAAATCGCAAAAACGTGGAATATAGTTTAACTAAATTAATAAACAGATTTTAGGGGAACTCACGTGGATCATAAAACAACATTTGCATATAAAGATCGTTGTAAAAAACCATTTTGGGATATATCTTTAAAAACCTACCCAATATACAAATTCCAACCAATTAGACCCTGTTTCCTAAAATCAATAACTCCAAAAACGAAATATTTAGCCAAGAAAACATAAAACCCTAAGAAAAGAATTGAAATTTTTCCACCAAACAAAATAAAGTGGCAAAAACGTAAAGTAAATATATGTTCATATATACAAAAAGTACACAATTTATCGATATTTGCCAATTAGACCCCTGTACCCAAGAAATACATAATTTCAAAGCGATCACTCTTTTATCTTTAAAGCATAACAATAACAACAATTTCTCAGCTTTATGACCAATGCCACTCAAAGTCCCATTCGAACTTGGCGATATGAAGAAAAGGCCCTTGAGATAACGCCAACAATGCGGAATTCTGTATGGTTATTTTGTGGTAGGTGTCCCCAGTTCTCACAGGGCTCGCTGATGGGGGTTTCACCCAGAAGAGGTGGTGCTGCTGGGGAGGAGGAGGAGAATTATGCGAGACACAACCAAGTCAATTAAGCGACAGTTGAAAAAGGCAATAAACGGCAACCGCAAAAGTCACAAAACAATAAACGTTGATAAAAAAAAAGAGAGAGAGAATAATGTGTCCAGAGCAGTTCTGGAGAATAAAACAAGTTTGACAACGTCATCGCTTGGAAATAGAAAACCCAGGGGGGAAACAAAAGGGATCAGTATGGGGGGAAACTTTGCTCCATGGGAAACACAAACGATCGAGTTGAAAAATTGTCTAATTATCAACAATGGGAGGGGATTTATAAAATGTGAAACTAGGCCCCGAGCTCCGCAATGAAATCATATTTGAAATTGCATTGATTGCTCCATTAGATCATGCCTGCGGCGACTGTGACTCCCATATTTTGTTAACTGGGATTATGTCATGGCTGTAAAACTACCCAGTATATCATTCGTTGAGAGCAAATTTGCATGCCAAATTGCTAAACGGGTTCAATTGAATTGATATTCGACATGTTTCAAATTAAATCGATTCGAGGGGCACGCACGCTGTCGCTCAAGGTTCGTAGAACTGCCCCTCTGGTTGCTCCATTAGTTAGTTGTGTGCTAATTGATAAATGGCCAGACGATCTCCGGACTAATTAGGCTCCGAAATTCTTTGTGGGCGTCGCCTGACGAGCGGCGAGCAACTTAAATTAACCACTCAAAAGGGCAGAGATCGGAGGAGAAAGAGTCGGGAGTTGTGTTCTGTGCTGGTTCCTCCCAGCTCCGACATCTTTCGTGTGGAAATCAAGCGGTTGATTGCATTGTGTTTCGCTTATCACAGATGCCACACACCAGATATGGCCCCGACGAGGGTCTCTGGGATGCAAGAAGGCATCTGGTTGGAACCCCTCCCCCCGACAGCGTGTGAAAAACATTAGCTAATGGAGCGCAACCAAATCAATTTGACACACAACCCGGTCTTTAACCTTTCTTTGGGCCTACCGAATCGAGACAGACACATCTTTATAGGGCACTTGTACACTCATTGGCACATTAAAAAATGAAATTAACAATTATGAGAAAGGAAACGAAGTTAACATTCCATTCTTGAACTCAATTTTATAGTTTAAAATGAGAGCTGAAGAATTTATAAGATATATGATTACTTGGTTAGATTTAGTAAAAAGATATTCAAAAATTATCCTTACTTGAGTAAAATATAAATTTTACAAATTTCTGTATTGCTAAATAGTTCACACACATTTGTTTAATGAAAAACTAGTGGTAAAGTACAGGCTATAATGTTATAGTTCTATATCTTAATGGTTTTCTTTTAAGAACCATTCCAGAAAATGCTTTTCTGGCCATAAACTTGTACCGATAAAAGTATCTCAGTGTGAACTAGAATTATGTGTATCCGTATCTCTATCTCTAAAAGCATCTCATGGATACATGCTTCTGTACTTATAGACCAATATGCTCCCAAGTAAATAGTCAAATTGTTGTATGGTTTAAATGTATATATAAATGAGAACACATCACCCAGGCCTCTATACCAACTTTTCCTTCAATTAGCCCCAATCTGATGCTAAACAAATTCAACTGTAACACCAACGGAGACGCCTCCGTTTTGTGGCAGAAAAAGAACAGAACTTTGAGACATCTAGATTTCCACGGCCGATGGATGGCCACTTTTGCAGTGCAGTCGCGACCTCGATGGAGTTTTTCCAACTGCCGATGCCAAGTGCATGTCGCTGCCAATCGGGGGAAACACTACAAAAACCTGAAACTTGTCAGACGGCCCAGTGTAGTAAGTAATAAAAAATAAACGCAGTCATTGGGGAGGGAATGGAAACACAAAACTGAAGAGGAGCTCGGGGCCCAAACGCTTGAGTGCATTTTCCAGGCCGACAAACACCACTAGACAACTAGTAACAGCTAAAAAAGTACTTCAACAACAACTAAGACAGCGGCAACAACAGCGATAATAACAACAGCCACAAAGGCAACAACCCCTTTTGCCGTATTTCAGGCGAGAGCTGGATATATAGAGAAAAAACTGTCTGATTATGTTGTATTCATAGAGCTAGGAGCTGCCAGGGTGCGTCCTCATCCTCTGGGATCCATTAAAAAAACATAAAAGGGAATAGGGGGAACCCTACTTTGTCTTTCTAAGTTATGTAAATAAGCTAAAGTCATTTCTAGCTTCCCAAGAGTTTCAAGTTTCGTTTGAGTATTACTTCATTTACAGAACTTAATTTGAATAAAATAGTCCAAGGATAATGTCTTGTATTCCAACAATCGATTACTTATGGGGTTAAAAGATACTCAAATACTACAAAAATGTTTTTCAAATGCTTACTTAGAATTTTAACCCTTTAAAATATTTATTTAAATAATAGTTGTTTATGCAATTCGGCATTTGAAATGTATTTTAATGTTTTAAAACATTTGCAATGATTCTAGAATTGACTAAAGTGGATTATTTGTTAAAGTAATTTTTTAAAAGTTCCCAGAAATATATTCTGAAGATTTTCAATTCGGAACATAAAATGGTTTTATTGCCTAAGACTTCTTGGAAAAAAAACAACCTTTAAAATATATAGGTCACAGTTAGAGTTCTAGGAAATATACTTGGGAAAGGTCAGGATTGCGAAGATTAAGTTTAAGTAAATATAACTGACATAAACAGTTTCAAAACATGTTTAAAATAATTCAAATTCTTCTTAAAGTTCACAATTTATCTAATGTAATGGAGTATTTTAATGAGTTTTAATTACACTTAATTAAGTAAAATAATAATAAAGTAAAAAAATTGTATAACTTTTTAGCCGGAAAACTCTTCTAATGTATTCCAATTATGTTTTTGTAAGGTCTCGGTCTCGGAATGATGTGTGTGGGAAATGGTATAATTGGGAAAAATAAAATTGGAAATTGGGCCTGCCGCCAAATGGTGTTTCCTTTTTCGGGGTTGCTTTTGCCTGCTGCTCACCAAAACAAATAAAATTGTAAACAGAAAAGACCGGCAAAAGGAAGGCAAAGGAGAGAAAAATTGAGAGAGGGAGACCCAAAAAGGTGAGTGGCGCCGCTCTCTCTCTCTCTCTCTGTCTCTTTACCTGTGGTCAGTGTCAGTGTCAGGCTCACGCACACGTTTTTATTGAGTGTGTGGGTGTGCGTAGCCTGTCCGCGATTGAATGAATGATGAAAGAGAATGAGGAATAAGGAACGGCACATGGACTTTATGGGATGTGTCACCCACCACTCAAAAAACGATGACCGCCACACACACACCCCTCTCTCACCCTCCAACACCTCTTTCACTATCGATTTTTTCCAGTGATGGAAATATGCGACAAATGACAAAAAAAACTGAAGCATTTGCTAATTAGAACAAGTCTTTGATAAAACCACAAGGGCGAATGTGTTGGCAGATAGACGAAAGATACAAGGAACTGGAGTGGACCCAGATAGGCGGCGACAGAGAAAAAAGAGAGAAGAATGGGAATTTATTACGCTGACTTTACTTTGATTAACCGGCCAGCAACTAAGCAACAGCAAAGCTTCCCTAAGATGAATTATAGCAAAATATAAAATATCTGCAATTCAACAAAAAGTTGTCTCGGCAAATCCCAGTTTATATTCAAATTCTGACACCAGATAAGCGCGTTTATAAATAGAACAAACAGCAGATAACGAATGGTTCTCTCTAAGGAAGCTCGACTGTCAAAAAACGCACCTACCTCACACAGGGGAGCGGGTTGAACGGAACATATGAATGACTCTTGCTCTGACACAGTTTTATAAACAAATTATTTAATTTGTGTACCCGCCCCCGCAGCAACAAAAGGCAGCGGCTGTTTAGTTAAAAATTCCACTCACACACACACGTAATCGGGCGAACGGGGGTAGGGCGGAAAAACAAAAACGAAACGAATAAGAATCGCGGGCCAAAAGGAACAAACAAATAACGCCTTTTATTCTGGCAATTAGCACATTGCACTTTGCCTTTGAATTTCGCCAAGTTTGCTAAATTGTCGCTGTTGTTTGCACTGTCACCACTTTTTTCCCCAAATTCCTTTTATTTTACACCGTTTCGCCCCCGCTCGCCTTATTCGTGACTCATGGAAGGAGGAAAAGGAAAAGGGCACAAGAATTGCACTGTGTTTTCGAGAGAGCCGGGAGAGAGCGCATGTCAGGTTTCTGCTGAAAGAGATCTCAGCGGGTGCTAGAGCGAGATGGCGACTTCCAAGTGAGGAACCTGGCGGGGAAAAGGACGCAAGAGGGTGGCTCACTGATAGCTGTGTGTGTGTGTGTAAGTGCAGCAGCAAGCATTTTAGTTTTTTCCATCCTCCACTTCTTTTTTCTCGAACTACTCTTTTTTTGTTGCGGCTGCTTCCACTGTTTTTCCTGGTTTTTCATGGGATTTCGCTCCAGCTCTATGTTAATTTTCACAAATCACTGTTATATACACACAACATTTTCCACTATTTCCTTTTGGGCGCTTTTCATTGGCCACGGCACTGTTTTTCTTTCATCACGCAAAACCTTATAGCAGTATAATTTATGGCAATTTATTTCGTGTGCACTGTTGCAGTTGTTGTTGTTGTTGCTTTTGTTGCTGCTTTCGCAGTTTGAATGAACTGCGCTTCTTTCGTTTTTTGTTTTCTCGCGCTTCTGGTTACAAACAATTTACATGCTTTAGTTGTTGCGTTTCTTGAAAACCGTTACACTTGTGCAATTTACCAAAAAGAACAGCGGCGGATTAATGACCCGTCTCACTCACACTCACGGAAACAACACACACATACGCGGACTGCAAGAGTGCAACAACAAACGGACACAATTGGCGGCGAACTAGAAAAGGTAAAATTATTATTATTTTATGCAACACCAGAACTGTGGGAAGTCCGTTTTTCGCGACGTTTTGCTTTTATTTATTTATGTTTACGTTTTATTTAAAAAACACTCACGCCGGATCAAAGGATCGTGGACCGGCCGAAGTGATTTTTTTGTATTTCTCTCTTTGTGCGCGATTGCACTCGTATTTATAGGTTTTTGGCCGCTACTTTGTTTGTCCAAATTTAATATATCTTCATATTTTTGTTTTGGTCACTCTGGAATACGAAACTGGTATTTACATTTTACACGTGTATATAAAAAGTACATGTAAATTATCGTCGGTAATGCAGTAACCAATTCCAGTAAGCAGATCGCAATTCCTCTAAGCAGATCCCAATTCCAGTAAGCAGTTTTTCGGAAGTCTGGTAACCTCATTTTCAAATCAAAAACCAAAAGGTTGTTAACTTGGATTGAAATGGTGTAAAAACCTAAAATAAAAAGGTATTAGCTCAGAAAAGGTGAAGCCACCAGATGTCGCTTGAGAATATAGACAAGCTTCAATTCGATTATCAATGTTTATTAATTTTTAATATATGTTTCATATAAAAAAAAAAAAAAAAAAAAAAAAATAAAATTTAAAAAAAGTTATAATTTTTAATTGTATTAATTTCTCGATCTTCCTATGGGGCTACATGAGATATAGTCGTCCTTCAGACTGTTGGTCCTGATCAAGAATATATATTTTTTATGATCGAAAATTTCCCTTCATTGCGTTGCAAACTTCTGACTGAAATTATAATCCCATTCAAGAGAAGGCAAAGGAGGTTAAAAACAGTACATAAAATCATTTATAATCAATATATAATATTAAAGAACTCTGGTTTTCTACGATTCTAAAAATATATAAGTCATTTAATTTTAAATTTTCCGTTTTTACTCAGAATTATTGACATAATTGTGGCTTAAAACAGAGTCATTGGATTAAGATTATTATTATTTAAAATATTATTGTTGAGAATTTCGCATTTAAGCATTACCTATGATCAAATGTGCCTTTCCACACGCTTCCCATATTAAATTCTGTAACTAATTTAGGTGAAAGTACCATCTATCAGTCCCAAGTCCAAAGTTAAAAGGCAGGTTGTTTAGTTAAATATATAATTTTATTGAACAAAAATGAATTGTATATGCTGTTCTCTTATTTTTAAACATCAACTGAAATTATGAATTTTTTATATATTTTTTTTTTGTTTTTTTTTTCATTTTATTTAAGGGCTCGGTTTTCTTGTTCAGCTTTTTGCCAATGTTTAGAAACTCAAAATCGGATTGAATAAAAACCGCAAAAACTTGATAAAAATAATTGTAATTTGTATAAAACATATACATTTTGTTAATTATATAATTGTGTTTTCTCATTAACTTAATTGAGTTTTGTTATTTGTTGGTTTTTAATGGTATTTGTATTGAAGCCTTAGAACTAATTGTTAGACAGCTTGACAGAATTCTTTCGAAAAGATCATCGATTTCCATTGAATTGCAATATGTGACAAACTCTGATCGATCTCAAGTTACATATAATATGTTTGTTGTGTGGAAAAAATGTCGATTACGTCGTATTTTAAGTCACATTTAAAACTGGTTTGATTTGTATTCGTCTTTAAACTTGATTTTTTTTAGTTTTTTGTTTTTGTTGTGTTTGTTTTTGTTTTTGTTTTACTAATAACATTTAAAAAGATCACCAAAGTTACAAGTTTCCCATATTTTACGTTGCTCACGTTGCTCATTTATCTTTAGATTTAGATTTAGATTTATCCGTATGTTGATGTATCTTGCTTACTCAGCTTATATATTAGCACTAATATTATGTATTTTATTGATTAATTACCCGGCATTTTGGTTGATTTCTAAAGTAAGGGATGTACCAGATGATGATCTCTCTTCTATCTCTCCTCTTTATCGTCCTACAATCATTTAGATTTTTGCTAGTCGAATTTCAGCTAAGGGTTATAGTTTATCTGATTCGTATTTGGAAAACTACATCAAGGATGGAGGGGGAGAGTGAGTGTGTGTGGGGGGGGGGAAGGAAGGACTTTCAATGGGGACTTTAATTGGAAGAGTAAGAGTACACACACACATATCATAATATAACGTTTATAATTGCTTGGAGTTAGTCCTTGTCACTTGTTTTGAAATCTCGGTAATTGTGGCATATATATAATTTTAATCGTTAGATTTGTATTTATTTTTATTTCCTTTAGGAAGAGTTGTGCAAATTGCTGTTCTAGCTTCGATTTCGATCTGATTATATATCATATATCTATGTATAATCTATATATTTGTTGTATATAATTGTAGACATCTATAAACGGCACATTTATAAGTAATATAGTAGAAACAATGCGATCCGAATTCTATCCCTTACTTGTCTCTCGTTTTTGTTTTTTTTTTTTTGTTATTTTTGCATATTTTTCACATCGATCTACATCTTTAGTTTAAAGCTCAATTGAATTTTGACAGATAAAAGATGCAAGTTCCCGGCTTTCCATTATTTCTGTTGTCTTTATCTTAAGGGGCCTTGACTCTGAGCAGAACATATATACGAAGGTTGGAAATGATATACACATAAGGCTTTCCGTCGGTCTCCAACCTTCTCCTGCGTCTCCTCACTTTTTTTTCTGCATTTAGCTGCACGACACTGAAGAAACCATTGAAATTGTTGCGTGTGTCAGTAGGGGGAAAATCGGAGTTATCTAGTATAATAGTAGGGACTACTCTTACAGCCCATTGTTCTGGATGGGAACTGGGAACTGGGGGGGGGGCTAGTAGCTATAGGTTGTTGTTGGCATTTTTCGATTTTTGGGGACTTTCCCGAGTCAACTTTCAGTTTACGTTTCTTCCTTGCGAGTAGTTAAAGCTTATGGACTCTTCTCACACACATATAACACATTATTTTGTGTGCTTTTGCTGGTAAAGTAAATTATTATTGTTGAATATTATCGCTCATTTTTAACAACTACGAGATGCATTCATTGTCGGCACACATTTTCAGCTTAAACTTATTGAATAATCATCATTACATGTTTGGATTGATCCGTTCGATATCGAACTCATTACTTGCATTGATTCGTTTTTATCGTCTTTGCTTACTAACTAAAATTGGTAGATTTTTGTTGTTTTGTATTTGCTTGGGCTTGCTTGGGTTTAAGTAAGTTATTATTAAGAAATAAGTTTAATTTTTAAATTTTAATCCCTTGTGTTGAAACGTGGTTAGTAACAAACAAACAAATTGGAAAATTATTAATTACAATTGAAGAAATCAACAGATACGGACGACCCACACACATAGATTGATTGATTAATTGATCGAGAGATGGTGCAACCTGGCCTTTGCCGGGCTCCCCTCGTTTCTACATGTATTTCTTAATTCTTCTTCAGATATTACCAACTAATTTGTAAGTGCAATAGAGGATTAAATATAGTAAGCATATATCGATTTAAATATTATGTATTTTATAATGCTCTCTCACATAATGTACGATTGGATGGGCAAAACATACATGCTCGCAAACTAAATCTAAAATTAAAAAGGGATCTGTAAAGGATTGTACACAAGTATAAATAAGGTTCCGGTGCACCGCCGTCGCACCGCACCGAATAAATATATAACAACTCATCATAATGTTAACTTGAACTGTGTCCTCGATATAGTACAATTATTAAGCATACGTTTCTCTCATACATCATATTTGTTTATGGTTGCTTTTGTTGGTTGATTGATTGAATGAATTGGCAAAGAAAACTAAAGACTACTTTGTAAAATATTGAAATGTAGTTGCCATCATCTCTCGCTCTCTAGCATTGTTTAGATTATTATATTACCCGTACACCACTTGGCTCTAAAGTTAATAATTAATACAGAGTTTACAGTGAAGAAACAAGGCCTGTTCGTTTCGCGCTTTTTTTAAAAAATATTTATAAAGTACAAACTAAATATCGTTAGGAGGTACATAAATAAGAGGACATTGAGTGATATGCCTTGCAGGGAGGGGACAAGAGGTTCAGATTGTGTGTGTGTATGTGTGTGGAGGCTCGACTAAAGACTAACATAAAAATATCTGCACTTCTACCGTGTTTTATTTGCACTTTCGAATTTTTAAGTATTTCCCACAATATGTCGCATCGGTTAAAAACTTTAACTTAGTTTGGTTATATATATTATCCGCTCTCTATTTTATAATATAGTAGCCTATTGTTTTGACCAAAAATGATGTCTGTCCCTTGTTGAAATTGCAGTTCTCGATACTCATCATCTATAATCTGATCTGCGTTGGCGTTCTCCCAACGTTCTTAAAAACTATTAAATGTTCTTCTTGCTCGGTTTTTAAATATGCGCCCTTAGTTATTGAAGTATTTTCCATTCGTTTAGTACATGCTAAGTTGCTCTCGCTTGGCTTCAATGCTGCTGCTAGTGGTTCTTGTTTCTTGTTAATTATTTGGTGGTGGTCTTCGTTCACAGTACAGAGAATCCGAGTTGATGTTGTGTGTTTTGTGTTGTGGTTCGAGTCAATCAGCAACTTATTCACTTTTGTATACTAAAAAACCTTTGGTTGTATGCATTCATTCATCTCATCTCATCTCAGCTCCTTTATGTCTTCAATTTCGTATCGTGTAAAAATATATTGTACAATTTAATCGTAATAATCCTATTAGAAAAAGTTCTCTCCTCTCTTTTGTTAATGCCGCTCTTTGCTTTTTGCTTTTCGCTTTTCCCTTTCCCTTCTGGTTTTTTATTGGTTGGTGTTGCCGTCGTAGTTCGCTTTTGTTCCCTTTTAGTTGATTTCTGTTTGCTTTTATTATTTGTTTGCTACGCTTGTTTTTTGTTTTGTAATTTTTTGAGAATTTCTTTTTCACATTTTACGTTCGCTTTCGATTCGTTTATTCTTCCATCAGTTGCGCAAACTTGTGCTTAACATTCGATTCCCTATATACCTATAATTTCTCCCTTGCTGCTCTTTGTGTGGATGCATATGAGTGGGCTTGGCTTTTGTGTCTTTGTGGGTTATCTTTCAGCTTACTAAATAACTAATTGCATGCAAGATGCTCGCGCTATCTCTCAACCTAAAATATATATAGCTGTTAAACTTATTTATACAATTCTATGCTTGGCTTCATTCGCTCGTGTGATCGGAGGAGGACTGAGGATTGGGGGAGAAGTTGGCTTATTCGAATCGAATTTCGAAACTGATTTTGTATTCTCTTTAGCTTTTTGGTGTTCGGTGTGGGGTGGTTGCTTGGTGTTTGGTGTTCGATATACTTTTTAGGCAAAGTACATGACCTTCTTGGTGTCCGCGTGCACTGTGATGGCCCTGGCCATGGCGCCCGGCGTGCGATCCTCGGAGCAGCCGCTCTGGTGCGATCCCTCGCCCGAGTCGTGCTCCTTCTCTACCAAATGGTATCTGCAATGGAAACATTCGCATAAATCAAACACTCAGTCGAAAGCAAGGCAAAGAAAGAGACTCACCTGGCCCGGAAGGCCACCAAATGGGCATAGTAGGCTGGGGCCGGTATGCTGACGGAGCGGGTGCAGCGAACGTACGTGTGACAGAGCTGGTACGTCAGGCACTGCAGCTCGTCCGAGTCAAAGTGATTGTCATCCCAGAGAACGTGATAGTGCGAGGGGCGACTGGTGCCCTGTATGCCCTGGTGGCTGCACAGATAGAATCGAATTCGGTGGGATGTGTGATGCCCACGTCGACGGTGGTGCCAGCGGGTATGTTGCCCGACTTGCCGCTCTGCTCCTTCTTCTCGGCGCAGAAGAGACGCGTGTGATGACGCTTTTGCACTACGATGAACGTAATGCCCGGCCGGTACTCCGGCTCCAGCTTGATGCATGCCTCCCTAATAGCCGTGAGTTCGTGCTGCAGGACATGCGGGAACTGACCCTCGGAGACGCCATCGCGGTAGAGAATGATACGGTGGGGCTTGTAGCCGCCCGTCGATTTGTAAAACATGATCAGCAGCTCGCGCACCATGCTGCTTAGCTCCTGGATGATCTCCTGGCGATGCTGCTGAACCCGCACGGTGGCCGCATAACGCGAAGGATGGGCGTCCATGGAGCCAACAACGGCGGCAATTGATGGTTTCTTATTGTCGCCAGCTGGCGGATGGGTCACATCGGCGCCCAGGAAGATGACGGGCTCGTTAAAGACCTTGGGCCTAATAGAGGGCACCAGGATCGAATTGATGCCACCCAACTTGACGTTGATCTTGAGACACAGGTTAGACAGTGTCTGCGGTGACGTCTTGTTAACATTCTTCGCCTGCACACATTGTGTGGCCATGCCCAGAACAGTGTCTCCGACGCGCTTCACCTCGGCATACACCGGCGTCTTGCCGGGCAGCACCACCACGACGAGCTGCAGTCCGGGGAAGGTGATCTTCAAGTAGCGGAACATTGGCTCCACCTGATCCGGTCCGGTGGCGTATTTGCAGAAGCACGGCTGTCCAATGATCGGCATGCCGGCATCGTTCGAGATCTTCTGCAGCTGCTGGGTGAAGTTACGCAACGCATCCTCGCGCACCGTGCGCTGCGGGGCAAAGCAGGCGATGGCCCAAATACGGATCTCTACGCCGGTGAAGAACTGCTTGCCACGCATATCCCAGACACCCTGGTTGGGCGAAGCCAGGCTTACCTTGTTCTGTGGCGGGAACAACTGTTGGCCGGTGATGCCGGTGGACACACGTCCCCCATACTGAAGCTTGGGTGGTGGCAACACTCGGCCGCGCACTTCCATCATCGAATTGGAGATAGTCAGGCCGAATTCCTGCACATACGAGTCGTTGTTGAAGTCAGCCCGCTTGACCAGGTTGTTGATTTCGCGCTCACGATCCGGAGCCGAACGAGCGGTGGCCTTGATCATGGTCGATGTCTGCATGTCGGTCAGTTTCTTGATGCAACGCTGCCCAGCCACAATATTGCAAACTTCCAGGGGTAGATAGGTGTGCTTGTGCTCCTGACCCACCTGCAGGCAGGCAAGTGAGGATAACGCAACTTCATGCGGTACTTGTCCAGGAAATACTTTGCAACGGTACACTCCACGGTCTGACCGTTCTCCAGTTGCAGTGGGAATCTGGAAATATTGAGGAGGAAGAGGGTTAGCAGAAACAACAGAATGAATTATATTCAAAGGTCCTTACGATTGCATTTGGGCGGGACGACGGGTGACATTGCAGACGCGATACTTGCGACGCATCTGGCCACAGTGCGTGATCTCGATCTTCAGCCCCTTGATCTCCTTGGTGAACTTGACGCGCTGTGAATCGGTGAGCGGTTTGCGTTGCTCGTTGATGTCCGAATATCCAGAACCTCGCACATAAAGTCAATGACGGGTTGAGCCTTGTAGAAAGCGGTAGCCGAAACTGAAAAGAATTGAGGCATTAGTAAGTTAATTTCCCGTTTCAGAGGCGCCGCCACAACTCACCGTCAATGTTGAGCATCATCTTCCACTGCGATGGCCTCACACTCTGATGGAAACCAAACCACACTTCGCGTCCACCGCCAGAGGATGGTAGTAACCATCCGGGGAGCTGAAGAAGCTTCTTCCCACTGGAGTGTACGTCATGCTAGGCAGATGGCGCATGACCACATCGAGGGCCAAAATGGCATCGTAAGGTATCTGCCGGGTACGGCCTTCCAGAGCCTCCTCGAGATTGAAGAGCGACACCTGAGCCTGCCACTTGATGGTCACACGGAAGATGCGATCCTTGCCCTCACCGGGCAGTGTCACCTCCAGCTCTAACCTCTCGTTGCCAATGGGCAAGGGATCGCGGGTGTACAGATTGTTACGACCATCAAACACGGGCTTGAGCACGCCGAATATCTTGCTGTAGGCATGCACCATGGTCTCTATAATCTCACGGTTCACCTTCCGCGGACACTTGTCCGGCTGGATGTTGATGTCATAATGGTGCACATAGCCGCGGGGCATCGTCACCTGGAAGTGATTGGCGCGCAGCACAATCGGTCGGCCCTCGCGACCCAGATTCGGACGACGTGGGCACGTGAAGACGGGCATATCCGGTTGGGCGGCTGGCGTGGCGGTAGCAATGGCTGCCGTCACGCTACCGGTGGTGGTGGCGCCCAAGGCGGAGGCCACCTGAGCGGCAGCTGCTGCGGCACCGGCCACAGTGGCTCCGCCAGCTGCCACATTCTGGGCACTTGGACTGGTGACAGCGGTGGGATTTACCGACGAGCCGGGCGTTGGTGGTGCTGCAATCGGTCAGTTTAAACAGTTAGTTTCATCGATATCCCCAGCATAATTTTTAAGAGTATCAAAAAGGTAACGAAATTAACGTAAAATAATGTAAGAAACTATTCTAACATTAATTGTTGTGGGAATAATTTTCAAGTGCTTAAATAAATCTCATGAAATATATGTATGTACTTGTTTACTGTTTTATCTTGGTTTTATAATTGTTTTTTAAAAGACATTCCAATTATATTTTTTTAATCTTACACTGTATCGATTTTATTTATATTTGTTTGAAGCAAGACTTTAACATTTACTGATATAGAGTTCAAAATACGATCAAGGTAAGACAAATACATATGGTCCAGGTTGTTTTAGCTCTTATTTAAGAAGCCTTATAAGTATTACTTTTTCTGAAGATTAGCCTTAAAATGTGTTGTTCTGTTATGATCATTATAATTCATAATTTATTTCTGTTAGCTGAAAGACTGCAATTTGGCAAAACTACTTAATAGCTTTAAAAGTAAACCCTTCTTCATATACCATTATACCTAAGCACAGAAAAACTTCCACTTAAATAGCTACAAGCTTAAAAAATGGCATGCAACGAGCCGAAAAAAAAACACAAAACATAATAAGTACATACTCAAAGTTCAAACATAGTTTTGAGGTGTCTTTAATTTAGGTGTAAGAGTTAATATTTCAAAGTGCACTTTGCATGGTACGAAACAAACATTTACATGAAACTAAAATTAATTGGTAGTTTTTTGTTAGTAATTATTACGGCAAAAAGGGTTAGTAGTTTGTGTTCAATTTTTCAAAGGATTAGTTAGTAAGTGGAGGAGAGCTTTTGTTAGGATAACACCAAACTAAAGAACATAAACACAAACAGTTTCGTTGCTTTCTCGAATCAAATTCAAATCAATTGCATAAGGTTCTTAGTAGTTTTAGTAGATCATTTTTGGTTTGGAGAGAAATTTACATGTGAGCGTGTCGAAGCTAGTCTGCGCCTGAGAGGGACTCTGAGGCCGAGTGGGCGAGGGGGTCCACTGTGACTCTATAAAAAGAAAATGTAATCAAATAAACGCAAGGTAAATCAATGAAATGAAAATGCAGAGGTATTCAAATCAAGAGGGTAATGGCCAATCGATGGTTGTTTCGTTCGATGATGGAGAATCGAAATCAATAATGTCAGAAGTGGTGGGGCGGGTGATGAAATGATGAGGGAACCGAAAAACGAGAGGCGGTATTGTAACAAACGATAAGAAACGAAATAGAGGTGCGTTAATAATATTTTAGTTACAGTTTTCTTTCATCATCGTCATCAATAAATATAAATATATAGGTATTTTTGTTACAGGTGTGTGTATTTTGCTGTGTGTGCTTCGCTGCCACAAGTCCATCCCCTTTTGGTCAATGGAAATGGAATCAGTGTAAGACGTTGGGGCTTGGGTTTGGTTTTTAGGTGTTTGTATTGTTAGCCACCATTTTGTTAATAGTTCTCAGTTATAGCACCATTCAACCCTTGGGATCCCAACCCCATTTGGAAGAGAAGGGACCGGTCCGCTTTGATGTTCTACCAAGGTTCTACTAATAATACAAAAATCTGGCCTTTATTTATCCGTTTTAATCATAGTATCAATCGTAATTTTTAAATAGTTTAATGCAAACTGTATAGAATATTGTAAAACTAGAGTCTACCTCAAGTTATATAATTATGTTTTAATAGTTATAAAAGACTTAAATCCCATTAAAATCTGCATACTAATTGATGTTTCCCTATTAAAATGCAATTAGGTAATTCCAAAGAAAACTTTGAATGGCAATATGTAAGAATAAGAATTGTTTAAAGATATTACTCCTTATAAGGTGAGAATTCTGAATTTCTACAGGGAAAAGGGCGATATCTCAAAAGAAACTAGGTTACTTAAAAACATGTCTGAAATGCACCGATTTCAAAATCATAATAAGGCAAATATGTATCGAATATCTTTCAGATTTTAAAGGCTATACATTTCCATCCCTTATATTTACAATTTCTTCTGTTTTCACCCCTCTCGGAAAGTGTAAATATTGAAAAGAAATACGCACAATAAGCTGTAAATTGCGACGCAATTAGACGATGTCTGCTCTTGAATCACACATGTGAAACATGGAAGCTAGAGAAGCCAGAGACGGAAAATCTGAATGGATCGTTGTAAATGCCCCAAAATCAACCCTCAGAGCAGGAATGTAAAGAAAAGGGGGGAAAACTACTGCGACGCGACGGTCGTTGACCCAATTTTTGCGCATTTTCAACTCTCCACGCACGTGTCTGTGACGTATGGACATAGGTGTGTTTGTGGCTGACTGCATGTGTGTGCAATTGGAGTTGCTCACACATAATATGCATTTGCAAGTAGAACATCAAAAACTTGATTAGTGGGCGGGAAGGCCGGGTTTCTTGGAGACTTGTGGCAGCAGCGGTTTTTCTTTCCTTTCTTCCTCTGTTTTGCATTGTCTTTCGTGTGTTTTTTGTTAGGTTTTTTTGCTCGCTATGCAACTTACGTTGTCCGACTGGATACATGTTTTTGCACTAAGTTTTAAGGTTTTTGTTTTAAGAAAAATAATTAATGTATAAAAAGGTTGTTGTTTGTTTGATGTTTCTTCGTGTTTTGGTGTATAAATGTAATTGATTGTTTGATTGGTTTGTTGTTTTCTTTGTGGTTGTTGTTGTTTCTTGTTGCTGCTGTTGTTGATGCTTTTGGTTTTCTACTAATTATTTAGTTTTTGTTTTGTTTTGATTTCAGCCTTTTTGCTTATCACACTTTAAAGTAGTTTAAAGTTTTATTCGTTTGGTTGATTTTTGCATTTGTTTGTTTATTTATTATTATTGGTGTTGCGCGTGGGCGTGGCATAGGCGTATTTTTTCTTTATATAAATTGGAATTTAGCAACAGACAAGTGGGAATCTCGTCTCTCTCTTGTTATCTCTGTCTCTCTTTTATTTGCATTTATGGTATTTATATTAGTATTATTGTTGTTATTTTTGTATTGGAAAAGAACACAAATGTAGGCACAGCTTTCGTTTAATATATATGTATTTCTTTATGTACACACTTAGGCGCGTGTGTATATATATGTATATTTATATACTTATGTATATATGTATCTAATGCTCTTGTAATACAACTAAGAAAAAATTCTTCTTTATGCTCGCATATCTCGTGAGTGTAATTGTTTGTGTGTATTGTATGTGTGTGTCTGCTTGCGCGTGTAGAGTGACTGACTGATCCTGCGTCGGTGTGTGTGAAAACTGCTGCTGCTCCTCCGCTATACAGCGAGAAATGCGTTTGTATGCGTTTTTTATATATGGCAGCCCAAAAAATGTGTGCACGTAGAATTCTTGGATTTTCGAGACGTGATTTTTGTGCACCAAACACGTTCGCGCCGCCCGCTCTTATGCACAAACCGTGGCCAGACTATTGAATTTTGATTTTCCACAACTTTTGTTAGCTTTTCACGCCGCGCATTATGCAAAAAATGCAATTTTCTTCAGCTTTTCCCACAGCAGCCACACACTGGACGTCCACACAAAAATTGTACTCGCGACGTGTGAGCGTGACGCATATCTTAACCACACTTAAATGAGGGCAAAGCACTCTCGCTCCGCGCCGTGCGAGTGAGCGGGACGACCATAGCAACCACCACTATGCGATGTCTGCCAGCGCAGTGTTGGGAAGGAGCGGCGTTATCGATATGGCTTTTGGCTAGCTAGGTGTCCAAGTGTTGGAAAACAAATGGTGGCTCTGGCCTATCGTTATCGTCAGCTGTTACGTAGCGTGTTGATTACGTTGCTTGTCGCAGAAAAGTTTTCCTTATTTTCGCGGGCGAAAAACAAAGTTTTCCCTCCTCAAAATGTCAGTGCCATTCAGCGGCGCCCTCCGCAAGTCGGGCGGCATTGTCTCCGCCATTGGCAAGCAGCTGAAGAGCGTCAACTTGAAGGGCGTGAAGCGGATAACGGTGCAGTTCGATCCATTTGCGGAAAATGTTAAGTCGACACGGTGAGTCGGAAAAGCGCTTTTCCTGCCCTCAGCGAGCGACTATCGATAGCGGGGCATGCGCACTGCCCACCGCCTCCCCCTTAGAATTGGAAAATTTTCTCAGAACCAAAAGTGCGTAAGAGAAACGGAGGAAAAGGAAAGGCGAACAAAAACGAAAACAAAAGACAACTGAGGTGAAAAATCGAAAAGGTGCAGGAATGTGAAGTATGACACAAAGAAGATCCCTTTTCGAGATGGCAGGATGATGGAATGAGCGTGAATATGGGCCAACAACACACACTTACCGTACACCTTGCCGATAATGCCCACGGCGGACGTCATCTGGAGATCCGGGAACGTCAGCGGCAGCGTGTGCGGATGGAGCTGAGCTGGCCCCCCGGGAGCCAGCTCACGCTCCGTTGACATCTTGGTCGGTGTCGGCGTCAGTTTGAGGCGGCGGCGCTGCTCCTGGAAAAGGGGATAAGGAAAAATCAATAACGCTAATCGCCAATCGTTTAATTTTATCTTATCGCCCGTAGCGAGTTCCTCTTCCTGCTCTCCACACCGAAGGTGGCCCAAACGAATCCCAAGTGCGTGGTCAAGTCGGACATTGTGTGCGATCGCCAGCCGTCTTGCATTAAGTTTGCGTTAATCGACTCGGCGCAAGGTGTGGCATTAGATTCCTCTTATTTTAAAGATACTTGTAATCCTTAAACGCTCTCCCACAGAACAAGCCAAAGTGAAGGAGATTCGCTTCAACAGCGATAATTTGAACACATTAGAGCTCCTGCAGCTGTGCAACAGACACGTTTCCAGCTTGGCACCCGTTGAGGAGATAACCAACAAGGTCCTAACCAAGGCGGAGAAACAGAAGCTGGGAGGCGGTGCCGGTGCTGGCAAGAAGGCAGCCAAAAAGAAGTAGAGCGTCATGGTCAAGAAAAACAAGGGGACGCTGGCGGTGATCGAGCAGATCTACCAGGATATACCAGCCTTTTCCGACATCTTCACGGAGGAGACCTTCTACATGTTCGCCTTCTGTTTCGTTTGCGCCACCATCCTGATGGCGTTCATTCTCTCCCGGTTCATCACCATCAAGCCCGTCGACTTCTGAGACAAAGTTTCTGTTTTGTAAAATTTCTCGTTCGTACATTTGGACGTACATTTGGAAATATATAAGCTTTAACATGTACCACTCCGCACTGTATTCACTTTTGGGGACGACTGTGGTGCGAAAGGGCACGGGTCCCGACTTTCAGTTCGGTCTGTCAGTCTGAGCATTTTTTCTTTTAAACCTGTTTTTGGGCCCTGGCAAACCGGAAAATCATCTGCTCCTGGTGCCACGGCTGCTGGCTGTGCTGCCGTTGCAAATATCAGCAGATGAGAGAGTCGCCTGCCGGGCAGAGCTTATAGTCGCAGGGGGCGGGAGCCGTTGATAATTGGACCAGAGGAAGTCAAGCAAATGTGCCAGAGATGCGATGCAAAGCGGACGTGGTTTGGGGTGGACCCAGAAGACGATTTTGCATTAAGGTGGTAACTTATAGGACAAACATACTTAATTAAAACTATTTTTTCAGTGCAGTAAACTACCGATTATTATAAAAATAAACTTCAATGTTTTTAAAGCTCATGTTGTGGGAAATAGTAGGAAAGCATATATCTGTGACTTTTAATGTCGAACAAAAGAAAGTAACTTTTGACTTTTGATCATATAGAAGTAACGAAACAAAATCTGTTAAATTATATATTGTATCTAGCTCTCTGATCGGCACATTCAGGTATATAAAAACGGAATATACAGGTATTACAATAACAAAATCTGAGCAAGTAGGATTCTTTCTTCGGAATTCGAACTTGCAAATTAACATTGGCCAAAGTGAGGTTGCTGTATGGCTTAAAATTGCATTAATTTATTATTAATATTAATCATAATCAGGATTTTACTAAAACGAACTGCTTTCATCTTTTTATTTTCTTTGTAAAAGTATGACGTAATTAAAAAAGAAAAGGATAATTAAGCTTTGAAACCTTTAGGATAATCCTCAGAAAGTTTCTTGGTTAGAATCCGATCGAGACCTAAAACCTCTTAGAGTTAGAAAGGAAAGGATCAACAGGCGGTGGGAAAGCGGGGAAAGCTTCTAGAAAGTGCCATGACAGCTGTTGAGATTGAGTTAGATTTCTTGGATCCCAAGCGGGAAATTTCACACACATGTACAAACTATTTCAAAAACGAGGAAAGTGCACTCGTCACTCGAAGCTTTGAGCTAAACTTTATAAAATGGCGCGATGTTTCATCGTGTGAGTGTATATGTATGTTCGACTTGCCACAGCCGAAAAATTCAGGCGACAAACTGTTGAAGTGGCTGGGGGCAGCAGCTGCAAATGTTTTTGGTGAAAGTTTCTTATGGGCACCCTGTGACTGTGATTAATCGAATTCAATTCGAAGTTGCCAAGTTCAATGTCGGGCCAACAACAGGAGCTTTGCCCCCCTTGCTCCGCCCCTCTCTACGGCTGGTCAGCCATGTTGAAGGAGTCGCTGTCGCGTCGGAACTTTCGCCACCCACTCGGAAACTTTGTCGCCTGACGTAATGGGCGCGCGGGGCGAGAAGGTAACGAGCGAACTAACGGAACGGTGTTTCTATTGGAAGCTAAGGATGTGAATGTGACCTTTCTACCAAAACATAAACATAGAGGCAGTATGGTTATCCTGCTTCCACTCGCTGCGCGTCCGCTGCTCTTGAAATTTCTTATAGCATATGCTCAGGCGCCATTTGTGTTTTGTTTTTTTTTTGTCCTTTCTTTTCTTCTTTCTTTTAAGGTTTTCCTTTTTATGGCCATTTGAGTGGGTGCTGGAGTTTTCATTTTGGATGTTCCTGCAGCTGTTCTGGAAGCCTCTTGTGCAGCCGGCAGAGACGGAAACCCCTTATCAGACCCCTACCCTTCTGTTTACTCACCTTATCGCAAAATTGCAGCTGACTTTATGGATGCCTTTTTGTAGTTTTATCAGCTTTATCAGCGGCAAATCGAGCGTTTTTGTTTGCGAATTCCGATTATTTGAGTGGAATTCATTAAGGAAACACGTTGGGCCTGGCGTCCTCACCGAATAAACGTTGCGGGTGCACTAACAGGGGGAGTTATGGTTTAAAAAGGCGAGAAATATATGTGCAGGAAATGGTTAAAACGCAATTTCTTTCTTGGGGCTGTTGTTGTTGGTGTTGCCAGATCGTCGCACACACAGACACGAATCACGCACACACTCGCAGCCGCCGTCGCCGCCTCGGTATGGCAACAAAAATTGCGAATTCCAAAAGCTTTTTGTTTATTTTGTTATTCGGCAGCATACACACATATGCACCATTTGGAGTGGAACTCTTACTTTATTTAATTTTATTTTTTTGCAAGCTTCTATGCCGCCTTGGGTATGTGTTGGTTCGTATGCGAGTGAGTCAAAGTCAAAGGTTTCGAGTGTGCGAGAGAGCGCTCTCTCTCTCTGTGTCACAATTGCTATCTCCCTCGCTCGGAGAAGCTAAATGTGGTTGTTGTTTTGCTGCTGTCGTGTTTTTTTTTGTTACTTTTGAGTTTGTTTTTGCCGCGGCTTTTAACTTTTTTATGGCAACCACCTTTGACGGTAAAAGCTTTCGCTACCAAAAACGCGGAGCAGTCATTGGAAAAAAAACATACAGACTGCCACAAAAACACACACACGCTCGAACATTTGCCAAAGCACCAGCGCTCACTCACACACGCACGCCGAGATTGCTGCAAAATGAAAGCACCAACAACAACAGATACAAAACATACAGGCAAAAATTGCAAAAAAAAATATGGACAATTACGCAGAGTTTGGGATATTGAACTATTTCGTCGATATATTTCCTTATTCGCTGTCAGTGGAGAGATCGCATGAGATCGCGTTATGATGAGAATCGAGAGCCAACTACAGAAAATTGCAAACGCGCGCGATTTGCACAAACACAACTTATAGGCTGGCCGTTTTGGAATTGAATAAAATAAATATTGTTGCGAGAGCGCGCGCTATCTGTGTGTGCGTGTGGCTCGCGAGAGCGTGTATCTGTGTGTTTTTGGCTCGAGAGCAGTATCTGTGTGAAACTTGGCGATTCGGAAAGCGGCGGCGCTGAAAAGCACGAAGAGCAACAGTGCCAGTCAAAATTGTATGTCGGTTCCGTGCCTGACAGGGACAACCATAGGGGGTGGGTGCGCGAGCAGAGTGGCAAGCTTTTCGTTAGGGGACACGATGACACCCGAAATGATGACCTTGACGATTACTATTACCGTTACTGGCCATAAATCAGCCAATTTGCCATTTGGTAGCTTACCAATATTTTGTAACCATCAAAATAAGCAGGGCTACTCATTAGTTGTACATATGTTTTTGTCTGTACCAACTAGTGACGAAAGCTAGAAACGAATAGGAACTGAAGTTTATGAGGATGAGGAGAATATATTATGGAATGTTATAACTCTTTTAAGGTTTTTGAACGCCCAAAAAAAATAAAAAATAAAGTTTTTCAGATAAAAAAGATACAAAATTAACCGTAAAATTATGTTTTAAATTCACAAAATTAAAGTTAGATTAGATTAGATCCTAGATTATTAAAAATCAAGAAAGAGCATCGATAATCACATAACGGTAATCAATAAAAATATACTTTCTATACAACCTTAAAATTTTAAAACTAAACATTTTTTAACTTTAGATATTTAAAACTTAAATCTTGAAACTATTTAAACTTTATAACAAGTTACAAGTATACTTTGATATTTCGTGATTGATTTATTTAAGAATCTTTTAAAAACCAAAAAGTTTTTGAGTCCAGATCTTTTAGATATCAAGATCGGACCGTGGCTAAAACGACTTGTCTGTTGTTGCTTCTTACCATTGAACGATCTCGAAAATAAAATAATGTTTTTTAATAGTATGCGCTAGAAAACTCATAATTACCAGCAAAATGAAACAATTTTCTTTGTAATGCATTTGTAACTTGCTAATTTATTCCGAATCGAAAAATACTTAAAAACGTGAAAAAATATGCTGACGACGAACGCATTTGGATTATTGTCGTTTACACAAGCGAAAGCTATTTCTGCTTCTCCTCCTGCTTCTCAGCTGGATCGGTGTTCTCATCCCGAGCGACAGCGGTGACCTCGGCTTCGCCCTTCTTCTCACTGGGCGGATCGCCGCTCATGGTGGCGCCGGCGGGCAGGCTCTTCTCCAAAGCGCGGACAAATTCCTCCAAGTTGCCGGAATAGGCGGCGGCCACAGCTTCATTGGACAGCTCGAACTGCTTAACAACCGGACCCAACTGGGCCGACTGCAGGGCGTTGGAGAACTGGGCCAGGGCCTGCTGGAACTGCGGGGAGGTTATGTGGTCCTTAATCTGCTGCTTGCGATCCTCATCCGCATCCTCAGACTCAGGCAGGTGCACGATCAGCGACTTGACGCGCTCCGGATCGGCGATGAGCTGATTGATGGCCTCGGCGCCGGAAAGCGCTGTCGATAGGTCAATGTTCAGAGATCGTCCTGCGCCATGTTCGGGGGAGAGATTGGATAAGTAGGCTTGGAATGGGTTGGCATAGGCTCCGGTCGATTCTGACGCCGTTGTGGTCGATGTGGTTGAGTTCTTACCGGAGGCATCCGCATCTAGGGACGATCCGGCACTGCCGGCGGCGTCGCCGGCCTGCGAGTTCACATTGCTGCTGCTGCGGCTGCTGCCCGACTTGGAGCCCTTGGACGGGGCAGACGGGGTGCGTGGCACAGTGACGTTCTCGGGCGTCTGCAATGCCGAGGCACCGCCGCCGCCACCACCCGAAGACGACGTGTTGCGAGAGGATGGCGTACGGGAGCTTTAAGGAAAGGCAGAGGCAGAAATTTGGATCAGATAAAATGGAAAAGGGAAATATCCTTAAAAATATAGTTTTTATAACCTAGAAACTCACTTCATTTGGCCCAGCAGCGAGCTAAGACCTCCGATTTGGCCCACTCCTCCGAACAGCTGCATCAACTGTTGTTGCGACATGTTGTTAAGCATGTACTGCAGGTCGCCATCGTTGCTGCCGCCACCACCGCGCTGGTGGGCAGCCGGGGGATTGTTCATCAGCTCGTTTATGCGGCGGCAATGCTCCTCATCCTTGTCAGTCTTGGGCTCCTGCAGCCAGAAGAACATGCGGCGCGTCGATGACTTGAACTTGAGCACGTAGACACGTCCGGTCTTGCACTGCTCGACACGCTTGTACTCAAAGTCGTCGGGGAAGACGATCAGGTCGTCCTCCACCTTGCCAGAGGTGCGGTCCTTCCAGCAAAAGTGCATCAGGCCATCGTCGCTCTGGGTCATGTAGACCAGGCCCTTGCGGGTGTCCGGGTGCACCATCTTGCCAACCATGTTCATGCGACCTGCGCGAAACTCCACAAGGTTGCTGCTGTTGCTGGAACTGCCCAGTCCACTTTGTCTGCCGAACATGATGCGAGCACTTCTCGAGAGCTGCGAAATAAAAAGATTGTGTCGTAATGGCGCTGTGTATTTGCGATAAACCGTTTTTTTTCCGTTCTTCAAGTTAAGTTAGAGGGTTATTCATCGCTGTTGCCATACTCACAGGATATATAATGCGTCGAATTTAAAGATTTTTGAAAATATTTAATGATTCGACTTCGATGACCAGCAAGTTTTTTGTGTTAGCGATGTGCAAAGATGTGTAATCGATAGTTGTATCGGTATTTCTAGAGGTGGTTAGTGTTTTTAGTAATGATGAAAGTTATATGTCTATTGTTTTTTTTTGTGTTCCGAATGTAGAACCAGTGTGACCAAAGAAATTTAAAAAAAAATTGTCAAACTGACAGCCGAAGCCAGATGTTTCTTGTAAACCAACTTTATAAATTAAATTCAAAGTTAATTAGAACGGATTAGATATAGGAATACTATTAATTGTTATTTTCGACGCTATGGGTCTAAAGCCAAATAACCGGAGCGCCAACGCAGTCGCTGCCCAAAAACAAAATATTTTCGTGTTTAAAATGTCTTTCTAGAATTACATCTCATATTAAATATTTACATCAGAACCTCATTTTTTGGCCCCTAAAATGTTCCTTAGTTAATTTTCCTCTATTTGGGCTTTAAAAATATATGTATGTATATGGTATTATTTCGCTCAGTTGTTGAGTTTTTTGATCCGGTAACGCTTTAAATTTTTAGCTAGCAACATTTATCCTATATTATCAAAGGCGAAAGCTAACAAAATTGTTCTTGTTATTCTTCTTTTCGCTACCTCTTATCTGTAGTTTTGCCATTTGATAAACATTTATCTTATGTTGGTACCAACCCTAAATAAAAAATTTTTTTCAAATAATCGATAGTGCAAAAATCGATATTTTGAAAGCAATAACCAAACAGTCATAGTATCGATAGTGTCATCGATAGTTTCCCAGCTCCATCTGGCAACACTGAGCGAATCGCTCTTTCCTTTTTCATCAACATGGCTGATCAGGTAAGATTCCACGAGAATGTGTAAAATAAATTAAATGCGCGGGTTAAACCGCGGCTGCAAGATGAAAGGACTCTGCTAAAGCGGTGTGTAAGTGATATTTCAAGTATTAAACCGATGGAAAGTCCGGGACACCTAAAGGCAGCAAACAATTCGGAGCGGCCTCGCCCTAACCTCACTTTAGCGCATGGTGTTTCACACAGTGTACACGAAATGTATATTGCAGCAAACCGAACGCGCGTTCCGTAAACAGCACGCGGTGGTGGTAGTGCGCCGCAAGAGCGCCACTTTGAAGAAGCGCCCCCGGTTCTACCGCCAGATTGGTCTGGGCTTCAGGGCTCCGGCCGAGGTAAGAGGATGCAGAGCAAACCACGACTAATGTTGCGCCCCTCCGTTTGTTTCCATTTCATTCCCTGCACGTTGACCGTTCTGCACGCCGAACCTGAACACCACCTACCCTTCGCCCCCGTGTGCTCCACATGATTCCACATTAACCAGAACGAGCGCGCCTTCCAAAAACAATTCGGTGTTAACTTGAACCGCAAGGTCAAGCCCGGCATCACCAAGAAGAAGATCCTGCGCCGTTACCGTGATGTTGGCCTGGGCTTCAAGACCCCCCGTGAGGTGATGCTAGAAACTTGTACCCCACTGAAATGCCATCGATTCCCTAGCTAACATGTCTCTCTGCTCTCACCCAACAGGCCATCGATGGCACCTACATCGACAAGAAGTGCCCATGGACCGGTGATGTGAGGATCCGTGGTCGCATCCTGACTGGCGTGGTCCGCAAGGCCAAGATGCAGCGCACCATCGTCATCCGTCGTGACTACCTGCACTTTGTGCGTAAATACAGTCGTTTCGAGAAGCGTCACCGCAACATGAGCGTGCACTGCTCGCCCGTCTTCAGGTAAACCAAGCTCAACTTGAACCAAATTCTAGAATGTTTTTTTTCTGATGATAAAATCATGACGGTCTTCATAAAACAAATTGCTGAAAGAACTTGACTCTTTTTACTAAACGTAAAAAACTGAAATTACACATAAATCTTGCTATATTGCAACTGGAGATAAGCCCATACTAATTACATCTTTCTTGTTCCTTTGCAGGGATGTTGAGCACGGCGATATTGTCACCATTGGTGAGTGCCGTCCCCTCTCCAAGACTGTGCGCTTCAACGTTCTGAAGGTTAGCAAGGGTCAGGGATCCAAGAAGAGCTTCAAGAAGTACTAAGTGAGGCGGACAACCATCATTCGGGAGAGATAATATTTGTAGCAGTTATTCTTTTTGAATAAAACAAAAAATGTAACTTTAACCCTTGTTCTTCTCCATAGTCTCTTCTTAGTTTCCACAGCATTTCAGCGGACGAAACAGATATTCCATTAAAAGGTGTGTATTGAGATGTTACTTTTAATTATATTTAATTTGGCGTTCTGATGATAAAATCATGACGGTCTTCATAAAACAAATTGCTGAAGAACCTTGACTCTTTCCACTAAAAGTGGAAATACTGAAATTTATCAAAGGAAATTTTTATTACTGTGAATTCTTTAATTTTTGACTAATGTGTTTTTCTTCTTTTGCAGGATTTAAGACGGCTAAATTGACCAGAGCTATGAACTTATTACCTTAACTAGATTTAACTTGATGAATTCTTTTAATAAAAATGCATCGAAATACGAAAAAAAGTTTTTTTTATTTGTTTATATTAAAATAAAAAAGAATATAGACTTTCGAAATCGATCAAAACTAAGCCGAAAAAGCTTTCCATTCGGATTTTCTGTGTTCATTTATTTAAGTAAGAAATCTGCACATTTTTAAAGTTCAAAAATTAAACAAAGTTTTGCATTTTCGGCAACGTTAAAAAATTTACAAAAATTGTAGTCGGTTTTTATTTTTTCGAAATAAATAGCTTAGGTGTGAAACGAAATATATAAAACTTAATGAAACTGTTCGATGTTAAAATATGCACAGGGACTTCAAATCGATATTTTTATGTCGTTATTTATTTTTGCAAATTTAAGTTAAAATAAATGTTATTTATTTTAAAATTTGTATAAATTTTGACAAATTTAACCGCTTATAAATTTCTTTAAAAATTGGTAAAAATTTGTTTTCCTCCTGAGATGGCTAGACTTGGAATCGGCTGACTAAGAATATATATGATCTATAGGGTCGGAAATGAATCCTTTAGCCAATAGCACCAAAAACTTACTTAATTTAAAATAAAAAAATAAGTTAAATTTGTTCTATTTTTTAAAATTTTAACGATGTAACCCCTTATAAAATTCTTAAAAAATTAGTTGAGATGGCTAGATCGACTCGGCTGTTGATGCTGATCAATAATATCAATTTATAGGGTAGGAATGACTCCTTCACTGTGTTGCACGCTTCTGACTATAATGATAGTATGTACTCTTATAAAATTAACAAATTTTTATTTAAATTTGGCTATAATAAAGCTAAAAACAGCTGTTTTGTTTCAGTAATAAAAAGCTTACACCTCTTGGTATCAATTTAAAGCGGAAACTGGTCACACCCACAAGGAGAAACAACATTAAAAATGGAATCTGGACCAAATGCAGAAATTGGTAAAATTGAATTTTACACTCGAAATACAGATTGTGTCCCCTTCGGTGATGCGAAGCGCCAGATCGGAGGAAGAACCTGCTACCAAGAAATTTTCTAACATCATTATCCACCTTCTACTGCTTGCAGAGCTTTTGGAGCGCGTCCTGTTGCGTTTAGGAAACGCGGACTCGGACGAGAAGCTGGAGGCCACAGTGGGCAAATTCCTGACTCCTGTGATCCTGAAGATGAACTCTCCCCACAATGCGGTGCGCACCAAGGCAAGTAAAGGACTCAAACCAAGGCCGTCGGGTGACTGGCCCCCTTCTCGCTGCAATGACGCTGCAAAATTCGCTTGTGCCGGTTGACTAATGCATTGTGAATTTAAATTCCTCCAACGTCCAGGTCGTGGAGGTGCTGACCCACATCAAGCGGCGGCTCTCGTCGCGGGGACAAGTCCAAATCCCAGTGGAGGCTCTGCTTGATCAGTATGCCGCCGAGGATAGCAGCACGTTCCTAAAGAACTTCGCCATCATATTCATCGCCATGGGCTATCCACGCCTGCCGCTGGAGCAACAGGCCGGTCTGGCCAGCAAGGTGGTGGGCAGCGAAGACAAGTTGGAGAGCTACCAGGACAAGATGTTTGCCTTGCTGCTGCCCATACTGTCAGAGATCAAGATCCCAGATGATCCGGCACAGCGTTCAAAGCTCCTCAATCTGCAGGACAAGCCGGGCATCAGTACGAACTTTCTCTCCCTACTTCAGGATGTGTTGCTCCTGCCCTACGGCATCACCCAGGATCAGGAGATACCGCCAGGAATGAGTATTTATAGTTTTAAGCGAATCATCGCTAATAATTGGCGTGCCGAGGAACTGGAAAAGGTTAAGAAGGGAATCGTTCGCTTCCTCTGCGCCAGCGTCTTCACAGATGTGCAGATCTTCGCGCCTCTTGTGGTGGCCTCGGCAGACACACGCTTCAGCGTGGCCACTCCGGCGCTCGCCGAGCTGAGTAAGCTGTGCACCATGCTGGACTTTAGCAACCCAGCAGTAACCGCTCCGCTGTACATCTTGTTTGTCGGCAACCAGAGCAAGTTGACGGACCGCCATACGCGTCCCTGCTGTGCCCGCATTCGTCAAAAGTTGCTGCAGTACCTCATCAAGTGTCGCGGCAAGAGCATCAACGTGACAAAGGGTCTGCAGGTGATCTTCGACGGTCTCTTCGGGACTAACACCAATCAGAAATGCAAGGTTTTAGCCCTGAATTTCGTAGAGCTGGTACTCAGAGAGTGAGCATTATGACACTATGTTATTTTAAAGCTTATCCATTATCCTCGCCTTCTAGTGGTCCCCAAGAGTTGGTCTCAAAGGTTTCGAAGGTCATCCTCACTGGCATTACAAAGATTATCGGGCGCGACTCTACCGAACCAAATGATGTCCAGAATGCGGCATATTCCGCCTTGGCGCAGCATGCTCGCAGCTTTCCGCAGGATGTTAGTCAAGACCTGAAGCTGGTCCTTGGATACTTCAACAACCTGGCCAGCTGTGCTCCTGAACTGCACTCGTCTATACGCGAGGCACTAGTCTCCATGGCTCCAGCATTTGCGTGGAAGACCAAGGAGAAAAGCGATGCCATGGAGATGGAGGAAAACACAGATCCATCGGCCGTCAAGCTGGATGGCCAGCAGCATCTGTTATTGGCCATGCTGCTAGACAATGCCGAATCAAAGATCCAGATCGTTCAGAATGTGACTAGTGTCTTCCTGACCAGCTGCTATCCAGAGTATTATGCCCCCGCCCGATACCTGCTGCTGCTCATTGCGGGAGAGCGGTAAGCTAAATTCTTCTCTCAGAGTCTTTTATAAAATTCCCTGTTATCTTCAGAAATTCCCTGCGCGAGAATGTGACAACCTACTTGTATGGCACTTCGAAGAAGGATCATGTCAACTACAACCTGCTCTCCTCCATCGAGCAGGTCGAAAACCGCACCAATAGTGAATCCATTAGTGACTTTAATCACCTGTCCTTGGAGCAACGACGTGTGGTACTGCCCAGCTTTCCGGTAATGATGTCCCACGTCCACGAGATGGCTAATAAGCGGCTTAAGAAAAGCAACTCCTGCGTGGTGGTGGGACGCACCAAGCTACCGTACAGCCTGGAAGTGTACGAGGAGCTGCTGGACTATCTACGTCTGTGCCTGTGGTATTCGGCTGGCGTAGTGTCTGCTCCTGGGGATGAGAAATATACCCAGGAGTTACGCAAGTACATAACCCTGCACTACGACGAGGAGGAAAACAACGCGCTGAATCAGTACGTGCAGTTTGTCCAACGTAGTGTGGAGGCCAAGAGAAGTATGTGAGAGCCAGGAGTATTTAAGGAATGTAAAGTAACATATGTCTTCTTTCTAGGCGAATCTAATCTCGTCTGTCTGTACGATCTACTAAATGCCGCTCCAGAGCTTTTTGCTGCCAAGCAGCTGCATCTGCTGGAGCCGCTCGGTAACACCTTAAAGGATGTTTCCGAGACAATGCGCATCCATGTGGCTCAGGTCTATGGCATTCTATGGGCCTTCGGGTTGTCCGATGATAAATTCGACGAGGAAGTGGGCGAGTGCCTGAACAACCTTACGCAAAAGACATTGGAGCATAAACATGGCTGGCTCCTGGTACTGGGACACACCTTTAATCGGAAGATTGCCATGCTCAAACAGGAGAAGAAAGCAAAAGACTTTGCTACTTGGTCGCAGTTTGTAAATGCCGTCAAGATAATATGTGAGTTTGAACCCTTACCGGAACTCCTGATTTTTAAACATGAATTATCTGTTTTAGCCAAAACCTCTGTGAATCCCAGTGGCTGCTTGTATCGGCAGCCGTGAAATGCATCTCCATGATCGGCAAGGCTGTGCAGATACCCAACGTCAAGGTGGAGATCCAGGTGCCCACCAATGATGGCGATGACGACGAAGAGATGACCGAATACACGAGTATTGATTCGTCTACTAAGCTGGTTGTCTTTGGCGTGGTATTCCAGCTATTGCGCAGTTCGTCGGCGCGCCAAAAAATACGAGAGGAGTCTGCCAGATGTCTTGGCTACTTGGCCATCGGCGATGGCGAGCACTTTACCAAGCGCAATCTGGAAAAGTTCCTCACCCTTGCCAAGGTGCAGAAGGATGCAGCTCTAAACATAGCAATATCCGAGGCGATTGTAAACACCCTTTGCGGCTATGATGTGAACAAGGGACAGCCAGACGAGAAGTTCGTCAATCTACACTGCAGCGATGCCGAATTTGAGCAATTCCTGATTTCGTTGATTCGCATGGTCACCGAACCCAATCCGAATTCCCGACAGGCCATCTCGTGTGGCTTCTGGCCGTAGTAAAGCACTGCAGCAAGCGTCCCGCAGTGTTGGCCAAGAAGGAGCTGCTTCAGTTTGCCTTCACTGAGCTCCTCTCCGATGACAGCGGTGCGTTTTAAGCTTCCCTAGGAATTGATATTTTTGTAACCTTTTTTTTTCTTACCATTCTCTTTTAGAATTCGTCCAGGATGTGGCGTCCCGTGGCCTGGGACTTGTGTACACTCTCTCAGACTCCAACAGCCAAAGTGACCTGGCCAACTCGTTGCTGGATCAACTAATTGGAGGCAAACGAAAGGTGAACCAGGTCACTGCCGATACGGAAATCTTTGCCGAAGGCATGCTAGGCAAGACGCCCACGGGAGGCAATATCACCACTTACAAGGAGCTTTGCTCCCTAGCTTCGGATCTCAACCAACCGGACATGATCTACCAGTTCATGCAGCTGGCCAATCACAATGCCACTTGGACCAGCAAACTGGGAGCGGCCTTCGGATTGAAAACTCTTTCCGCCGAATCCAGACAGAAGATGCAACCGTATTTGGGCAAATTATACCGCGCCTCTATCGCTACAAGTACGATCCCACACCCAAAATTCAGAACTCGATGATCTCAATTTGGGACACTATTGTGAGTGACTCGAAGGAGGTAACCGAGCGTTACTACTGGGAAATTCTGCGTGAGCTTCTGGACAATCTCACGTGCAAGGAGTGGCGAGTACGAATCGCATGCTGCCTGGCGGTTCGGGATCTGCTGAAGCGTTCCAATGGCTTGAAACTGCGCTCGGATGAGCTTGTGCGGCGGACTTCTACTTCCGATGCCATGGAGGTCGATCAGGTTCCCGAGCCGGAGCTGAAGGAACTATGGTTTCAGCTTTTTCGTGTGATGGACGACATCCATGAAGGTACCAGGGTAGCGGCTCACGGCACTGCTTCATTCCTCGGCAAGCTGTGTGTTATTGCCTCCTCCTCGGATCATGGGAAATCTGGCACTGCGGTGGCTACATCTGTTTTACCGTATCTACTGGAGATTGGAGTGGGTCACAAAGTGGCTGAGATCCGCACGGTGAGCATCAAGACCATTTCCGACATGATTGACTCATCGGGAGCCCTAATTGCTCCTCATCTGGTCACCCTGATTCCGTGCCTGCTCCGTGCCACCGGCGAGTTGGAAAATAGCAAGCTGTCTTACGTGTCCACTCGTTTGGGAGCTGACAACGAGGCACAGGAGGCAGTGGATACACTCCGTGCGGAGGCTGCGAAGTCACACCACACTATGGAGACCATTGGCAAGTGCGTGCGGTACATTGATTATCCTGTGCTAGAGAAGATGACGCCCGAAGTCCTAGAACTGATGCGGTCCAGTGTGAATCTGGGAACTAAGATTGGCTGTGCCCATTTCGTTTGTCTGATCAGCATCCGGCTGGGCAAGGAGATGACACCGGTGGTGGGTAAATACATTCGCGCCTGCTTCGTGGGCATCAAGGATCGCAACGCCACTGTACGGAAGTACAACGCCAGTGCCATCGGCCATCTCCTGGGGCTGGCCAAAGAGCAGTCGATCAAGAGCCTGTTCGCTAAGCTGGACGAATTGTATGTGGAGCAGCCGGAAAATCGCTCAATTGCCCTGACCATTCAGTCCATGAACAAGCGCCATCATGAGCTCCTGAAGGACTACATGGACAGCATGCTACCACTGATCTTCTTCGCCATGCATGAAGAGGTCAGCGAGGAGACAAAGGCCAATGTGGAGCTGTGGAAAGATCTGTGGAACGATGTCAGTCCAGGGGACGCAGGCATTCGTCTTAATCTGAATGTGATCATACCCAAGCTGGAGACATCTCTCACCGATGCCAGCTGGTCTCGCAAGGCGCAGGCAGCTAATGCCATCCAAACGATAGCTACTCGCCTGAGCAGCACCCTGGAAGAGCCCGACAGAGTGCGACTAATCAGGCTCCTCCTAACTGGGCTGCAGGGTCGCACCTTCGAGGGCAAGGAGCGCCTCCTACAAGCTTTGGCTGGACTCTGCAAGGGACTGAATCGATCCCACGAAATCTGTCCCATCATCATCGATGCGGCCATGAGGGAGGCAAGGAAACGAGAGCCCATCTATCGTACCAATGCCTTGGCTTCTCTGGGCAACATTCTCGACCAGCTGGAAGCAGATCGCTTCGAAGAGGTGTACAACATGAGCTGGAATCTGCTGGAGAAGAAGGAGCTGCGCAAAGAGTCAGACGACGAAGACGAGCCTAGCACCAGCAAGGACCTTACGGCTGACGAGCGCAACAAGAGGGCTCAGACACTCAACCGACTGAAGGAGGTCGTCTGGGAGACATTGGGCAAGTCTTGGCCGCGTCATTCAATCGAAACACAGCACCGATACCAGCTCTTCTTTGCCGAGAACTGCACGAGCATTCTTGCGGAGAGCACGCGCCCAGTGCAGGTCAGCCTACTGGCCGCCCTTGCCAAGTATATCGAGCGGCTCTATGTCTTCGATGAGTCCGCTCAATTGCCAGATCTGTCGCAGATTAACCAGGAGAAGAAGATCAAGACGGAAGCGCCGGCGCCACAAACCCGCGAAGCCATTGTTGAGAAGATCTGCACCGATGTCCTGGCAGCCGTAGCCCTTGCTGCTGGCGTCCCACACACAGGTCTCAAGAAGGAAGCCCTCAACATTGTCCTGATGCTCATCAAGCGGCAAAGTGGGGCCAAAAACCAGCAACCCCTGAACCTAATCAGGCAAAGCTTCGAGTTGAATTTGGAAAAGTTCCAGCGCGATTCCGCTCCAGAGATCCGCTGCCGTATCAAAGACATCGAAGGGAAGCTGGGAAAGCTGAATCCGGGTAATTAGAGGTCCCTGTGATGTATATGTCGCCAAAACCCCATTGCTGGGTAGATTTCCTAAAGGGTAAGTCTGGAAATTAAACATCGTAACTTTGGCTGAAATAAATTTGTATTTTTTAAACGAAATCGTTTGAGGAACCATTTATAAATTAAACTTTAACTATATTAACTAAATAAGAGTCGGAATACTTTTTGTAATTAGGAATCGTAATTTTCACAGCCATAAGGTGCCCTCTAATACAAGTTTTAAGTCATAGACTCCCTGCAGAACCGTAAATATATCTCATCTCGAGACTCTAGCATAAAGCTCTTAGGATTGAAACGAATCTTTGGAACTGTCCGCTCGCAGACTTCCACCCGATATAGTTTTAAAATGTGAGCCAGGCCCAGCTTCAGTTGAAGAATACCCAGGCGACTGCCAATGCAGCCATGGGGACCAGCTCCAAAGGGTATATAGGTCATGGGGACAATACTTTCAAGGCGTTCGGGGGCAAATCTCTCGGGATCAAAGCGGCAAGGATCGGGCCAGTACTGAATAATATATAAAAATAATAATAGATTCATAAGAAGTAAATCTTCTCGAAAGTACCTTTTTATCACGCTGCAGGCCCAGAATAGAAATGTAAGCTGGCATTCCACGGGGTATCACAAAGTCCAAATGCGGCTGCAGGGAGAATCCTTCTGGCTCAGGACTTGTGCACTCTCTGTTAATAAAAGCAGCCGCTGGATACAGACGCAAGGCCTCCAGACAAACCATTTTGAGATAAGGCAAGGCAGTCAATGTGTCATAGTCGATGGAGGAAGTGCAGCTAGCACCAAAAGCGTCACTTAGTTCTTGCCGGAGGCGCTGCTGCGTGTTGGGTGCCTTGGCCAGTTCATAGAGAGTGAAACCCATAAGGGCTGAGGAGGTCTCGAAACCGGCTAGGAGTATAATGCCCGCCTGGGAGGCTATAAAGTCAGGATGTTGGGAGTAGTGATTGGAAGAGCGACTCAGTCGAAAGTACTGCAATTGATTAATAAGATCCCCCTTTTTGGGCTCCTCATGATCCTTGACCAAGTTTCTCATAAACAGTGCGTAGTCTTCACTGAAGACCTTGGCTCCTACAACCTTGGTCCACTTGGGCAGAAAGAATACGCTCATAAAGTCCAAGACCTTGCGTGGACTGGTTTCAAATAACTCCTTGGTTTTCTTCAGTAGCTGCGATCGTCCCTGACGTAATCCTCCCACATCCAGGCTATAGAAGAGATTTCCCGTCACATCGGTGGTGTACAGCTGACACATTCTGCTCAACGGAAGCACGCGGTCCGGTAGGTCCCGCAGTTTTCTCTTCAGATAGTTCTCCAGGTCGTGGACCACACTCAGCATCTGGGGATACATCATCTCACGTAGACGACCGCTGGTAAAGAGCTGCGACATACACTGACGGCTCTCCTTCCAGTTGTGATACTTGGCCAAGGGCAACGTCAAGTTTCCCATAGGATCTCCAACATCCGCCGCTTCATAGCGATTCAGGAAGCTATTGAAATGCTTGATCAGCACCAGGCGGATTAACTCTGGATCTCTGATCATAAGAGCCGGGGTCTGTAGCACAAAGAAGCCCATAACCTTGGCCTGACTGCAGCGTGGATCAGCGTAGATATTTTTAAAGAGATCTCCAAAGGAAATGCGGAGAAACAATAGCTGACCGAGGTGACCCAGTGGGGAGCAGGAGGAAACAGGCAGATGGGGTATTCCGAACCTCTTAAAATAGGCATATTTGTGCCTCAGCCAGGAATGGAGGGTTAGCATGGTGAGAAGCAGCAGCCAGAGAATCAGCATATTTCCTAGGTAAGAACAAACAATATCAATGAATTAGTATTAAAGATTATTAAAACACATCACAACAGGCCCTTTTAAACCCTTTTAAACTAAAACCATTATTCCATTTCTGGAAAATTAATTACTTTAAAAAACCAAACGTCATATTTTTGAAACCCTCTATATTTATAAAGAACATTACCTTGTTCATGAACACCAAAAAGATAAAACAAACATTGAAATATCTCACAAAAGAGTCCAACTTAGCATCACAATAGAGACCTGCCCATTCATGGAATTCATTCACAAAGAGAAGGATCATCTCGATGAACCCCATATAAAGCTTAACACAAGCTGAGTAGGATTGGTTTTTGCCAGTCGACAACGGAACTTAGTAGAGCCACCATGGCACTGGTATTGCTGATCTTCTCGGTTGTCCTTCTAGCCCTAGTCTGTGGCCTACTTGACAGGCACTACTCCTTCTGGCAGCGCCTGGGAGTGCGTGAGATTAAACCCAAGTGGATAGTGGGTAACCTTATGGGACTACTCAGCATGCAGAAAAGTCCCGCCGAGTTCATATCCCAGCTGTATAATCATCCGTCGGCGGAGAACGAACCCTTCGTGGGGATACACGTATTTCATAAGCCTGCTCTGCTCCTGCGAGATCCGGAACTGGTGAAAAACATCCTGGTCAAGGATTTTGGAAAATTTTGCAATCGGTACTCGAACTCCGATCACAAGGCTGATCCCTTGGGCTCACAGAACATATTCTTCCTGAAGAACCCCGCCTGGAAGGAGGTGCGATTGAAGCTATCACCCTTTTTTACTGGGAACAGGTTGAAGAATATGTTCCCGCTCGTCGAAGAAGTGGGTGCCAGCCTGGATGCCCATCTGCGCCAACAGCCGCTCCATAATGAACGGATGCGGTGCTTTGATTTGGAGGCCAAGGAGCTGTGCGCCCTTTTCACCACGGATGTGATTGCTACGGTGGCGTACGGAGTCAGGGCAAACAGTCTCACGGATCCGAACGGGGAGTTCCGGCGGCATGGACGCTCTGTGTTCGATTTCAGTCTGTTAAGAGCGGCAGAGTTCACCATGGTCTTCTTCCTGCCACATCTGATTCCCTTCTTTGGCTTCAAGGTGGTGCCCGCTGAGGCCACACGTTTTCTGCGCAAGACCATCAACTATGTGATGGAAGAGCGTGAGAAATCTGGCAAGTCACGAAACGATCTCATAGACATCCTTATTGAGTTTCGGAGGAGCACGCTGCAGGCGAAGGCTGCAGGCATCAAGGATCAGTTCGTGTTCGAAGGCGACATCCTGGTGGCCCAAGCCGTGCTATTCTTCACCGCCGGCTTTGAGTCTTCCTCCTCCACTATGGCCTTTGCCATGTACGAGCTGGCCAAGGATGCGGATGTGCAGCAGCGATTGCGAGATGAAATCAAAGAGGCTCTGGTGGAAAGCGATGGCCAGGTGACGCTCCAAATGATTGAATCCCTGGTGTACATGCAGATGATTCTGCTCGAGGTGCTGCGCATGTATCCTCCTCTGCCGTTCTTGGATCGCGAGTGCACCTCCGACGAGGCTTACCCTTTTGCTCCCTTCAACAACCTAAGGGTGCCCAAGGGAATGCCTTTCTACATACCCTGCTATGCCATACACATGGATCCCGAGGTGAGGTTTACTCTAAAGTAATAACCGAAATTTTTAGGACTAAAGTCGGTCTGCTTTCTCCAGTTCTTTCCCCAGCCCAAGAAGTTTCAGCCAGAGCGGTTCTCCGCTGAGAATCGAAAGAATCACAGGCCCTACACCTACATGCCCTTTGGCCTCGGTCCGCACGGCTGCATCGGCGAGCGTTTCGGCTTGCTTCAGACGAAGGTAGGTCTGGTGAACATTCTCCGCAATCACTTGATAACCACATCGGAACGCACACAACGGCGAATGCAGCTAGACCCCAAGGCGATTATTACCCAGGCCAAAGGAGGCATTCATCTGCGACTAGTCCGTGATCCTATGGGCGTATAACCCGAAAGGGAAACTTACTTTTTTTTTGGGAGTTCAGCAAGGCAATACCGAATATCTTAGAACAACAATCGAATGAGAACTAAGCCGGAGATTCGCGTGTTTTGGCATTAAGAATTAAACTAGTGTCGCGTATATTTGAGGGCAATTTGATTGACGAGTGGCGTGTTTATCCGCTGGAGAAATGACTTGGTAGATCAATCACTCAGATATATATAGATATATACCTAACAGTGCATATTTATGGGCTTTTTTCCCCCAAATCATCTTGAAAACGTTTAAAATCGCATTTGCATGTACGAGATGTATTAGATGTAGATTACATTTATTTATTGGTGGCGTAATTTTATAGACTCTCTAACCGAGAGCTCAACAGATTACATTTAATTTGATAATTTTTCTGTTTTGTTTTTATTTACCAGTGCCGAAGCGCCGTTTCTGGCGCGGATTATTGTATAATTGGTAAAACGACAGGCAGGCGATTATCTCGTCACTCACTATCTACGATTATATTAGATTTAGGTCTAGAGTTCACAGATTCACTGCACCGGCGATGCACTCTTGTCGTAGAGACAATCATTGACTACCTCCAGGTTGATTCCACTCTCAGCCTGCAGCACAAAGCCCTTGGGATCGAACTTCATCTCCTTCATGGTATCGGCGCAATTCCTTACTGCATGGTTCTTCAGCAGGTGCACCAGTCCCAGTTTGCTCTGCAGCAGTCCAATGCGACTGCCGATGCAGTTGTGGGGGCCAGTTCCGAAGGGCTGGTAGGCCATGGCCACAATCGATTTACGATTTTCGGGCGAGAAACGCTCCGGATCGAACTTGCTGGGATTGGTCCAGTACTGGGGATCATAGGAGCGTCAGAAATGTTCTTTAGTTTATCATAATAAAATCATTACCTTGGGATCATGATGCAGTCCATAGATTGGTATAAAAACAGCGGTTCCGTTCTCATACGTAAAATCATAGAATGGCTTCAGCGACAAATCCGGCTCACCCTCAATGCTGTTGTATCTCGGTCCAGGAACGGGAGCACTGGGTACATACGCAGCACCTCATCCACCACCATGGACAAATACTCCAGGGATTGGATCTTCTCGTAGGACAAAGTTCCGCCGCCTTCCACCAGAGCTTCGTTGATCTCCTTTCGCAAACGTTCCTGCATCTCCGGATGCTTGGCCAGCTCGTAAAGAGCAAAGGACATCGTCGAGGAAGAGGTCTCAAAGCCAGCGGTGAAGAAGACACCCGCTTGGGCCACCAGGAAGTCATTGTTTCTGGCATAGTGCGGCTTTGTAGGCTCCTCTGCCGCTTCCTTTCGCAGCCCAACTAAAACATCAATCAAATCGTTGCGGATTAAGCCGGTGCGCTCCCTTTCTGCCATCACATGTCCAATGGTGTTGCGCATGAAGTGAGCGAACTCCTGTGTGAAGAACTGGATACGCAGCAGCGAAACCAACTTAGGCAGAAAGAAGGCCACGAAGAAGTCCTTAGCACGGGGTATTGTAAAGGTGAATAGCTTGCGACCATGGTTACGGAACTCCGCATTTGGATTCTGCAGGCTATTGCCCGAATACCAAAGGCAATAGTGGCTATGCTGTCGGTGGAGAACTGGGCGCAGATTTCCTTAATCTCGGTGATAAATTTACCAGAGCTCTTCTCGCCATGTTTTTGCAGAGATGTCTCCAGATCCTTGCCAATCTGTAGAGAAGGCACCATAAAAACAAATTTCAAATAGAAGTAAAAGTTTAAGATTACCTCTTGCATTAGGGTGTACATCTGCTTAACCTTGCCACTGGTAAATACGGGCGTAAGCTTGGTGCGAATATCCTTCCAATGGGTATCCCTCACAAAGAACAGATTATTATAGCCCAAGGGATCTCCATGAGGATCGCAGCGGGCGTTGCGGTTGTGGAACCGATTAAAGTCCTTAATCAGCACAGATTTGATCAACTCGGGATCGCGGATAATCAGGCCGGGCCTATTGAGGGCATAAATTCCCACCACAGCTTCGTCCTTAACCCGGGGATCATTATACAGCTCCGATAGATACAAACCGAACGAGTTCTGCAGCTGGAAGACCGCCTTAGTATTTCCAATGATGGGCGTGGGCGGGATGTAAGGCAATCCCTTGCGCTGCCAGTAGCTGTGATTGCGCTGGAACCACACGTACACCGCTCCCAGGGCGGCAACCACCAGAAAGAGGGCCTCGGTTAATGCCATCTTTGAGTTTCGTTATCCTTATCGGAATTCTAATAAATCAGCAATAAGTCTGTTAATTAATTTATTAACTGATACGGGTTTAAGATAGGTCAGTCCCCCTCAGTTCTAAAGTTATCTAGGCTAAGAGCATGTGGTAAGCAGAACTCTTAGTGTTTTTCCATCATTAGACCTAAGGCAAAAATAGTTTGCTAACGGGTACGTTATCATGCAACTTAGTTAAGTGCCGTCAAAACAAATAACTTATGAAAAGTGTTGCACAGATTTTTACAATACCAATAAAGGGACTTAGCCTAGAGCTTTGATGCGCATTTCCCAGTATCTCGTAACTATGATGTAATAAAAGACTTAAATTAAGAAAAACAGATAACACTGTTTAATAGATTTGGATTAAGATTACAAAACTGTTCAACACTTTCCACTATATTATAAAATCTTGTATTTATCAGGAGTTTGCTGTTTATTCCAACCCAGCAAGGACATTAAAATCTTTATATACCAATTTAATTCTCACCTTTTCCATAATTGTTTAAATATTTTTTTTTAACACAGTATTTGCAACTGACCTTATTTGCAACTTGTTTTTCCAGCTCAAGTTCAAGGAAATATGCTTGTTTTCAGAGCTCCCGAGCACACACGACCGGCAATTAAAGCTTTTCGCAGCAAATTGAAATTGTGTTCGGGTTTTTATACTGCTAAAAAAGTTCTGAGATAGCGTTTTGAAGTGTTAAAAGTTTACCTGTGTGGTGAATAGACGGTTATAAACAAAAACAAAGAAATCGTACACAGTTTTCTACTAAAAAAAAAGGATGAACCCATTGAGAGAGCAAAATTATTGAAAGCTAAGCATGATGTATCAACTTCTCAAAAGCTATAAATTTATTTATTTTTAAAAAGCTCTAAACAAAACACAAACAAATCGTACTAACCTACGGCAAAGAATTGATATAGAGCATGATTAATATGCTTTATTCAAGTATAACTTTATCACATTGCCAAATATAAAGCTAATCTAAGGCAATTAATTATTCTGTATCAAATGTATTTCACGCTTATCATAAATGAACTATTACTTAGAGCCCGATTATGATGTTAATGTCAAGACCGATGCTGCTTTATAGCAACAATGGCGTAGTGTCTGGGTGATATGACAGGATCAAACAAATCTATTAAATAGCTGCGCTCATAGCCGAGTTCCTTCAGATACAGCAGGCGGTCCAGTAGTATCAGACTCTCTAGAACCGGAGCAAAGGACATGCGCAGCAGATAGAACAGGTCCAAATATTGCTTATCCTTAGCATATTCCTGCAGAGCTCTTGAAGTTCAGCCTCTTCAATTGCGGCCAGCCAAGGAGCTTCCAATTTGGAGGCACACTTTCGAATGTAGTTCGGGAAATCCTCGATTTTCCGCACCTTGCCCACCTGCAGTTCATTTTTTAAATGCTGCGCATGGCGGCAAACCAGAATCTCTAGGAGAGCCCGGTAATACAGTGTTATGCTTGGCAACTCCTTGGCATCCAGGGTTCTCTCAATGGATTGAGCCGCCAGCATCCTGGCATTTCGACCCATTCGGACTTGTCGTTCCCGAAGATACTGACTCAAGGGAAAGCCAAAGTCAGTTTGCTTGTCATCAGCGCCTTGTTGCCAAAGAACTCCTGTTTGGAGAAGCGTTCCCTTAGCAGATGATAGCAGCAGCCAATATTACATAGTAGTCGGCAGTCTGATTGGGCGTGGAAGACCTGCAGGCAAGTGGAAGCTAGATTTCCGCAGGTGTGGAGTCCAGTCAGGCAAATGTTGTTTTTGGGCTTGCCTATACCTGCTAGCTGAGGAAATTGCTCGGCCAGTAACTCGCCAAAATTTAGATCGGTCGTTATAAATCTGGCTGTAGTTTTGTAGTTCTCCAACAAAGGAGCATTTTTTGGGACATCTCGGGTAGCCGACCTTTTACCACGCCTTTTGGGAGTAATGCCTTGACTCTGCAGCTCTGCGCGTTCCGTGAGGCCATTCCAAGCTCGCTGAAACAAAATAAATATTTAATTACTCAAAAATTGCTTAAATTTGAATTAAGCTGACTTTGCTGAATTATCCAACACTATTTTTTCAGCATCTGTCGATATATCGCTACTAAAATACTTTTTCATCCCTATCATTCTTCTTCTTCCTCGACAACGCAAGAAAACGTTTTGCCGGTCTTTTTCACATAATTTTCTGTTTTTCCTTTTAAACCCGACGAAAATCACACAAACATCATGTCGGCTGGCATGCCCATCAACCCCAAGCCCTTCCTGAACGGCCTGACGGGAAAACCAGTGCTGGTGAAGCTGAAATGGGGCCAGGAGTACAAAGGCTTCCTGGTCTCCGTCGATGGATATATGAACATGCAGCTGGCCAACACGGAGGAGGTAATCGAGGGCTCAGTCACCGGTAATCTCGGAGAGGTGCTCATCCGCTGCAACAACGTGCTGTATATCAAGGGCATGGAGGACGACGACGAGGAGGGCGAGATGCGGGATTAGCAAGAAAGAGAATCGCTTGCGAGGAGGAAGCACTATCTTAAGTCTATGAAATTAATGAAATAAAGCTAATATTATTTTGTAGTCGAAAGTGTACCTGAAGTTTACGATTCCGGCTCAGAGCATTCTCTGTGTTGGCAGCATTGGCGTCAATGCCGAGTACGTGATGGTCATATTGGAGCGCTAGGCGGGACGAGAGATAGCCTTTGCCATCGCCAGCATCTACAATGCAGCAAGGCTGACTCGAGTTCTTAACAAGGTTATCTACCAAAGCGGCTGTTAGCTCCACCTACACCAGAAGATCAATATCTGATTGGTTTTATAAATCAATAGATTTCACTTACCTCATGACACTTTTTCGCACTCATAAATTCTCGAATGCTTAGTTGAGCGGCGTTTTCCTGTCCCTCAATGAGCTCCTCCACAGTCGTCAACAGCTCTGGATGAAGCGACAGACGTTCGTGCTCCCCTTGGGCTAGAAAACTTTTCCATTCAGGGAATGCGTCCTTTGATTCACGTCCTTGCCAAAATAAATGCTCTATGGCTAAGTCCACATCTTCCTTTCCTGCAATCTCCTTTTTCAAAGCGTCTGGTAGAAAATTGTCCCAATGTTGGTCCGTCAAGTAATTCACCATATGACAATTCACAAAGTCCCAGTGGGGATGGAGAAAAGCAAGCAAACCATCAATCCGCCTCTGCAACTGGGCAACTCCCACCTTGGACATCGTCCTAGAAACTGTAATCCTTGCGCTCCGAAGCGGTGGGTTCAGGAGAATTTGTTCCTGTACTCCTCTTTGATCCCAACAAGGCACGAAGACGGCGCTGGGAGTTTCGGATATTTTCCACGGCTCCCACAATGTCCGCCTCCGGATCGTTGTTCCGAGGAAACTGCTCGATGACCGTGCGCAACTGCTCCAAGCTGCGACGTACCTTGTCAGTGTGCTTTAGCTGCTGCTGGGCAACTACCTGTCCGAGGATCCTGCCCAGTTCCTCGCCCAATTGGACACCCTGGGCGTAGCCCAATCTATAGCCCTCCTCGTTGCCCTGCTTCTGACCGTCGGTTAATCCTTCCTCGTAGCCCAGGCGAGCCTGTTTCTCCTCGGTGAGCACGATATCGTCAAACAGATCGTTTATATCCCGCGATGGAGATGTCATCATATGACAAGTTGTGTTGTTGTTACTTGTAGTCTAGCTCCTTTTATAATTCACGTTTTAAAATATATTTTAAACTAATAAATATAAATTTAGTAAAATAGATTTGATTGAAGCCGAAATGTGTTTCGACTTGTGGTATTTTCCAACACTGAAACGGTGATTGGAACTGTGTATCAAAGGTATTCTTGCATTTTATTCACTTTTAATCAGGGGTATTAATTTAGTAAACTTTAAACCCACAGTTAAAATTCCTTTTTTTCAGTTGTTAATTTTATTCAACCGTTTTTACGTGTTGCTAATTTGGCATGCTCGCTTCGGCAAAGAATTTGGAATTCGTTCTAGAGATTGGTATAAATTAGCTAGTGAAGCCAGTGCTTAAAGCCAGCCAAAGGCACAATAACCGGTGCTAAAGCTAAGTTGGGAGACTCCCGGCGAATCCACTAGTCCCACATGTCTTCGTCCTCCTCGGAGCGCGCCTCATCGCTGCTCTGGGATCCCTTCCTCGGCTGCACGGACGCCGGAATAACGCGCGACAACTGCTGCATCAGGGTATTACCACCGGCGGTGGCAGTGGGTTCTCCGGGATTCTGGTTTCCGGAGATTCCCTTGCGTCGCAGCATCAGCTTGTTGTGCAGGTCTGCCATCAGATCCCCCGATGATGAGGCTACAGCTCCCGCCTTGGACCGTGTGTTATCCACCACGTCGAGAGGTGCAGCCGCCTGCGATCGGAGTCGACCTCCGGATGCGCCTCCAGCCTTCCGTATGGCAGCCATAAGCTCCGATCTTGGATCCACAGTTTGAGGAGGGGGTGGGGGCATTCTAAGGGGTGTGGCAGGAGAGGGAGAAAGTGGCTTTACAGCTCCTTTGGTGGAAAAATGTGGAGGCGCAGACGGGTTATAGACTTCTTCCGGTGGCGGCGGCGGTGGCGGCGGTGGTGGAGGGGGCGGCGGTGGTGGTAAGGTCCTAGGTGGTGCCATATACTGTCCCTGTCGATTCTTATTCGGCCCTGGAATGTGGGTCTGGGCCGCAATGGCCTGCACCGTGATCTCCTGCTCTTCCAGTCCCAGGTCTGGCAGCTCCGGAAGGTCAGGCAGGTCAGTCAGCTCTCCGTACTGGTACGATGGCGCAATGGGAGTCTGTTCCTCCACTGGCTGGTACTTCAGATCGTTGGCTATTCCGGGGAGATCGGGCAGATCCAGTGGTACATCGATAGCCGGCGCAGCCATAGCAGCAGGATTGTAGCGCAGATCTCCGGCTGGAGTGGCAAGCTTTGTGGCGCCATAAGCTAGCGAGCGGGGGGCCGGAGCAAGCAGCTCTTCTGGTGCGTTCTTTAAGGGCTGACTGGCAACGCGCCGAGCGCTTTGCGGAGGCAGTGTTCGCTTCCAGGCATTCAAGTCCTCACCATAGGCAAACTCATTGGTGTTGAAGCGCATCAGCGTGGGCACGGAGTGAACTCCGGCCACGGGAAGGGCTCCCAGGCCGGCAGTGCGATTAGTCATCTTACGCTCGGTTACTAGCGACGACTCGTGCTCCCGGTCGCCCCGCACATGGAAGAAGACAGCTTCCTCATTGGGTTCGTTGTTGCTGCCGCTGTATCCCGGATGTGTCAGCTGCGCCGGACGTGGCTTCCGCTGCTCCTCCATTAGCTTAGTCGTCACCTGTGGAAAGGTGGCTGGCAGGGGGGCCAGGACGTCGCTAGCGGGAATCTTGCTGGGGCGAAGATCTGGATGGCCCGCTTAGAGCCCACGAGTGCATCGATTTTCGCCTGGGCCCGCTTCACACGACTGTTTATGTCGTCAACCTTTGATCCATTCCTCGCCAAGCGAGCATCGATCCGCTCGAAAATAGAGTTTATCGTTTTGTGTAGACAGTCCAGTGACTGGGCTGCTTTGATTATGGTTTCCTGATGATGCAGGTCGGTTGGAATTATGGACACCTGGTAGGCGCTGCGCAGGTAGGGGGCCTCTTCGTCCATTTTTGTTTGCAAAATAAAAAAAATAAATAAATAAAAAATATATATGCGCCCTAGTGTGACCACTGCGCAGTGATACTGAATTACTCCCAGCGTTTATACGAAGCTTTATTCATGTTTCCTGTACGTGAATTGTTGATTATTTCAAGAGAACATTTTGCTTAGAGAAATATAATTTCGAGAGTTACATGAATAACTTGATATTTGCCAAAGAAAGCGATAAAATAGATAATTGTCCAAGACCTGCAGAATATGCTCTGACGAAATAGTGTGGCCAGTCTTAGTTCACAAATCGCGGGTCGGAATTCTGGATAAGAGAGCTTTGTTGTTTGATTTTTTTTTAGCTTCCCCAAAGAATGGACGAATTCGACGACGATTCCTTCAATGATGTCTTGGGCTCTATGGAAATGCCCACGGCTCCGAAGCAACCCAAGGTCCAGGAGCCCACCACTGCGACAATTGTGGCCAGCACTAGCAGCAGCCATCCCAGCTCCACTGCAGCTCTTGCCGCCAAGCCGGCTTCCAATCCTCACAGCATCCTCGTTCACAGCAAACAGCGAGGAAATCCCATCCTGAAATCCATTCTTAGTGTCCCGCTGGAGTTCCGTGATGACATTATACCCGATTACGTGGTGGGTCGCACTTCCTGCGTCCTATACTTGTCCCTAAAGTATCACAATCTCAATCCGGATTACATATGTCAGCGACTAAAGGCTCTGGGCAAGATGTACGAGTTGCGAGTGCTGCTGGTCCAGGTGGACACACCGGAGCCGCACAATGCCCTCAAGAGCTTGACCAGGATATCACTGCTGGCGGATCTGACCATGATGCTCGCCTGGAATGCCGAGGAGGCAGGCAAAATCATTGAGACCTACAAACAATTTGAGAAACGGCCGCCAGACCTGATCATGGAGCGTGTAGAGTCCAATCCGCATCAGAAGGTAATTATGATGAAATTCAAACTGCAACAATGTACCTAAAACTCTGGGTATAGTTGGTAGCTGCTCTAACCAACATCAAGCCGGTAAACAAAACGGATGCCGTGACTCTGCTGCAAACCTTTGGGAATCTGGGCAACATTATCACAGCCAGCGAGGAGCGGCTCTCCCAAGTGATGGGCCTAGGTCCCCGAAAGGCCAAGAGGCTGTATAAAACCCTTCAGGAGCCGTTCCTCAGCAAGTAGAGAGACTCCATCTCGTCCGTCATTTAAATACTTTAATTTCTTAGTAGGAAGAAACTGTACAAAAAATCAAGTTGCATTATTGTTTAACACCTTAAATATACCACCACACAATGTATTGATCGGCTGGCTACTCAGTCACCTTCCATATCTTGATGGTGCCGTCGTCGCTGCAGGAGATAAGTTGCTCGGCCACTGCTGGATTCCACTTCACTGAATTCACGTCCTGCTCGTGGGCGCTCTCCTCTGCTGTTAGTTGCTCGAATGTGGGCTCATCTGGCTTTGAGTCGCTGCACTCCTTAAATATCCGATGCCATCGTCGCCGCAGGCACTGGCTATCAGACCCGTCAGCTTGCACCAAGATACATCGTAGACGGCACGCGAATGCTGACCGGAGAGGGTACAGACGCACTTCCACACCGTCTGCTTGTCTGGCGTGGCCACGCCGGCCTCGTTACCTGGATGATAAGCCCTCCAGATCTTTAGCGTGGTGTCATCGCTGCAGGAAACCAAACGCTCGCCATCGGCATCGAAGTCAATGCCCCAAACAGTGCTCGTGTGAGAGGATAAGGTAGCCGTGCAGTCCCAATCGTTGTCCAGCGCATCCTCGGCAAACATTTTGATGGTGTTGTCGTAAGAGGCGGAGGCCAGGATTTCCTTGGTCGGATGCCACACCACTCGCTTCACGTCCTGTGTGTGCGGATTCAGGACGGCGGCGCACTCGAACTCATCATCGCCAGCCACCTCCCAGATCCACACGGACTTGTCGCGTGAACAGGTGGCCAGGAGTCCGCCGGAACGCGACCAACTGACGCTCTTCACCTCGTTTTCGTGTCCCTCCAGGGTGGCATTGCACTCGAACTCTCCCGAGGATTTGGACCAGATCGCGGTGGTTGCATCGAAGCTAGCCGATGCCAAGAACTGGCCGCACGGAGACCACTGTATTTCTCGAATGGTGCGCTTATGTCCGTCGGATAGAATGGTCTTGGTGCTCCAAGTGCTTCCGGTCAGGGCCCAAATGCGGATGGCCTTGTCCTCACCACACGAGGCAAACACATTGCCTTTGGGGTGCCAGGCTACCCCCCAGATGCGGCCCTTGTGCCCCTGCAGCGTGTGCTCCAGAATTAATCGTCCCATTGCTGTCTAAGTGGATAAATCACTGTCTGTCCGAATTTTGATAACAAAGGTGCTTGCGGCAAGAAGAAGAGTGCGACATGGCAACAGCTGTTGGCAGTGCTGGGCAACGTAAATTCACCGCCACAGCTGGTCCTTGAATATTTGTTTTTTTGTATAATAGTTTTACTTATATAAATATAAATAATGCTGGTTATAATTAAAACAAATTATGGAATTTCAAGTTTTCTTAGTATCCAAAAATAAAAACTGCCAGCACTGATGACCGACAGTGTTGCACAACGGTAAGTTCAGGTTTTCTTATCACCACTTGTGGAGAAAGTTGTGTATTGTGAATTTTGTGTTTTGCTGATGCTGATAAGAAAATGAACGGATTGATCGTGTTCAACAGCGCCAGCGACGTTGTTTATCAGAACCTAAACACTCCACTAACGCAGAAGATACAAAATGTGGCTGTTGCCCAGGGCTTGGTGTCAGCGGGGATGCAGGAACCCGGAAGCAACTTGGACAGCAACATCTTGCTGCAGATATTCAGCCCCATTGTTGGATCCCAGCGTATAATGCAGTGCCAGTTCGACAACGCCTACTCCAGCCTCCAATGCGAGCAGGGATTCAACTTGGTGTTCGGTGAACTTCTTGGTTTTACCTTCCTGAAGATTGGACACATTCCCGTGGAGCAACTTGGACGGCAAATGGGTGTGGCCATTACTCTCACCCGGTTTTGTTACGGTGCCAACTTGTTTGCGGCCCAGGCTGGGGCTATGCAACAGGAGCTACTAACCCAGTGTCTCGACTGCTATGAGAGCCTGTTGAGCGAGGAGGACCAGGCCTATCTGCTGGAGGCCATGCCCAAACTGCTGGTCAACACGGAGTTGAAGAGGACAATACACCTGACCCTGGATGCCACTCTCGAGCATCTACGACAGCTGGGCTTACCCAGGGCCCATGCCTTGTTGTTTGTTTCGCACAAGCTGCTGGCCGTCAATAGCACCGGGCAGGCTCTGCCGTTCTCGGCCGCCGATCTACTCTTCCTCAGCCTCATGTCGCGAGCCATGCAGTCGCCAAAGTCTCCGGCACAACGGGCGGTGGCCGTGTTCCTCCAGGGTGTCTCCCACGACGTAAATTCCGGGTGCGTTCCGAGTATCGTACACATTTCCCGCTTGCATGGCAACCAGGTGCTCCTCCAGATAATCGAGTATGCCAACATGCCGCTGACCAGCTGCATCTATGACTCCTTTTTCGTCCTCCAAAAGATCATTTCCGTGCAGCACCAGGGAGATTCCGATGCCCTTAAGCCTGCCTACGAGAATCTCGAGTCCTTTGTGGGCCAAACGCTGACCGCTTTAAAGAGATACGCCAAGCAGCGACCAGAGGACATGGAGAATTGCTACAAAAAATTCGCCACCAAGTGGGAAAACCTGCGAAAGATGTACGCGGAGTACTTCAAGAACTTTGAGCGCGAAATGCTTGTAAGGATCGAGTCGAATTTACCGTCTTTCGGGGAGGAACTGAAGCAGCTCTTCACGCTGGCTTGCTGCGACAGCTCGAGTGTCCACGAGTTAGACCAGCTCGCCGATACGGCGGCCAATGTGGAGGCTAAACTCTTGGAATTCGCGGAATTCCTGGCGGTCAAGGCGACCCGTAACTTATCCATCGATGCATATCTGGAGGACTTCCCCGGTCTAGTGCACTTTATTTATGTAAACCGGAGCAGTGGACACATGCTGGCACCGGATCTGCGGCCCAACCAACTGGTGCCCAAGACGAAGCTCTGGAGCATGGTGGAAATAGCGCGTAGCTATTTGAAAAAGGGACAGACCACGGTCATGTGGAAGGACAAGGCCTTCCACTACTCGTATTTCCTTTGGTTCGAGGATCAGTCGGGCAGCACCCTTAGCACCTCGCTAGATTTACAGCAGCACTTTTTGGCCACGGGAGCAGCCAGTGGCAATGGAACGAAATCCCCAACTGAGCCGGGGGCCCTTACTATGGACTACTACCATGATCTGGCCGAACTGTGCTTCCCCAAAATCTCACCGGGAAAAGTGCGCGTTTATGAGTTATACTGCATTCACCTAGGACTAGTAACCGCCACCTGTGCTGTGGAGCATGCTCGTCGCCTGGTTGCCACTATCAGCGATGTGGTGGGCGAAGAGACGTTTTAACAATTATTATTTTTAATCACTTTCCACCTTAGCGTTCCATGCCACATTCCCAGCGCTAGCGCAAGATTCTAGTCAATTCACGAGGTTCCCCGAGAGGTAATCCTCACGAAATTTGTTATTCTAAGGACAACTATTCACTGTTATAGGCTAAACAACCATCATGATATTTGTAAACTTCTTTCCCATCACTTTCAGTCGGTAATAAAAATGTAACAATTAATTTGTTTATTGAGTCTCTGGTGCCTGCCCTTTCTTCAACTCCTCCAGCCTCTCCAGGAAGAAGATTTGCGAGCCGTTAACGGCATAGATTTCTGGCGCACCATATAGTTCTCATTACCCAGGGCGGTGTAGGTGTCGTCGCCAATCAGTTCCCGCAGCGCAATGTTCTTCTTTAAATGTTTATCATAGAAGCTGGCTCCGGCGGCCACAAACTGAGGGCCCATTGTGGCCAGCTTCTTGTCGATCTCCGCGTCTGTGGCCACTTGATTGTAGTCCTTCATAAAACACCAGATGCCGGTGCCAAAGAGTCCCAGAATGCTGTACATGACGAAGCGAACCTAGGAATTGAACAATCGATTGTTAGGGATCGATCCCTGCCAGAGCATTCCAACTCACGCTTCCATGGCGGGCAAACAGATTCAGCCTCAGGTTCAGGTAGTGACCCATGGTGTACACCATCAGGAAGCTCACGCTTGGAAATATCGAGTTGAGAAGCACTCGATGGGTTTGCAGCTGCAGAACTGCTTTGCTCAAGCCGAAAACCTGCTCATCGTCGTTTAAGACTATGGCCTCCTCTAGAAGCTTCCCGCTGGGTGAGCTCCAGTTGATTTGCTGATCTCTGAAGCGGATGTCTGCCCGCTTTATTTCCTCCTGGCTGACATAGCCGTAGTTCACCGGAATGCCTAGGGCGCCGCCAAAGCGAAGCTTCGTGGTGCCCGCCTGGAAGAGATCAAACCCAAACACAGTAAAGGGCTTGACGAACTTGCGCTCAAAGTCGGACAGGCCCAACAGGTCCAGGGCCTTCTCCAGGCGCTGCTTCACGGCATCCGGCACAGGACGCTCCACGCCGTGCCTGCAAAGAAAAACGGTGTAAGGTCAACCGGATCACATCCGACTTCTTCACCTACTGGTAGCATTGCACAAAGTCCCGGTAATACTTAAGGCCAAGGGTGTGCGGCAGGAAGTTGCCAACGAACAATCCAACCGTGGTGGCTCCCGCCGTGTAGAAGACCAGCCTACGGCCGTTTCAGTCTTGAAAAACGAGAATAGTCCCCTGCCGGCTTTTGGTTTCACCTGCATGCCGTTGTTTTGTAATCACAGCCAGTGGGACCAGAGTAGTGCTGCAAAAAAATCTTCGCATTATCGATACTACCGATGTTTTGCTATTTTCTTATCAATACTTATCATTTTTAAAGACTGAAATTTAAAGTTTAAAAATGCATAACTTAATTTCTATTTTGGGTTTCTTATGCTCTCAGAAATTCTTAAAATATTCGAATTAGGGAAAATTAAATTGCCATAAAATATACTGGAAACTAAAATTTAAATCTCTTTTACTTTTATTTACTTTTTTGCAGGCAGCGTTACTTCTTTTAAGAACTATACAACTTTACCTAAGCTTAAAATATAAAACTAACTGCTAGTCGCGCTCTGTAACTTTATGTCGACTACTACTACTTGATTCTTGGCCTCCTTGTGCCGCCACCAACGACCTAGGCGATGCTCCTGGCCCACAGCTACAAACAGCTGGGTGCCATCAGCATTGAAGGCCAGGCCATTGATGAAACCGGCAATGGGTATACTTTGAATCTGCTGCAGTTTACGGGCATTGGGATTCGTCTGCCACAGCCGGACGCAGCCATCACAGGAGCCTGAAAAAGAGAACGAATTTATAGGGAGAATTCGGAGGTCATGATTCGACCAACCTGTAGCCACTAAATCCGTGTTGACCACCACTGCCAAGGCTGTTATCCAGTTGGTCACACCATTATCTCCTGTCCCATGCGCTACTTGTGTGGTGCAAATGGGTTTCTTCTTCAAAGCGCTCCATAAACTGATGGCTCTGCAGAAAATAAATCTAATTAGTTGGGTTTCCCTTACAGATTTCTTTCCACTGTTACCCATCCATTCCTCCCGAGACAAAGTGCTCATCGTTGATCAGTTTCACACACTCAATGCTATCCCTGTGCCCATTGTAGATCAGTTGCGACTCCTCCGTAATCTTCCAGATGCGCAAGGAACAATCTGATCCGCCAGCGGTGATGGCTCTCTCCCTGCTCAAGGCATCTATGCTGGTCACGCCCGTTTGGTGGCCAAATCTGTGCAAGATATGGTGTTAAACCATGCCTATAATTATTTCATTAAATTGAATCTTACAAGCTCTCCACGTAGGCCATTTCATCCAGCGACCAGATCTTCACCGATCTATCCTTCGCCGCCGAGTACAAGTCATGGGTTCCCTTGCGGAAAACGAGCCCAGCCACACTGTCCCTGTGGCCCTTGAGCGTCTTTACATGCTTCATCGTTTGCGGACACCAGATTTGTATGTGGGGACCGCCTTCGGCTAAGGCCAGGTACTTCATATCGTTGGACAGGCAGATGGTGATAATATGGGAGCGCCGCTTCTTGATCGTTGCAGGTTCCTCGCGATGTGACAACACATCTGATTTCTCCAGCACTTTCCCCGTTTCCGTGCACCATTTCAAAAGGAACTGCGACTTGGCGCCCGTGAAGAGGAACTTGCCGTCGGGACTGAGGGCCAGGGCACAGATGGGGGTGTGGTGGATTTTATGCTTTAGCACTCGGCTCGTCTCGCAAGTCTTAAGGTTGCTGGCTATATTTCTTCGCAGCTTTCCCACGCTGTCCAAGTATTCCGTCTGCAGACGCTGCTCAACGCTTTGGCCAGCTCCCGATCGTCGGCGCGCTCCGCTTCCTTTTTTCGATCTCTGTGAGGTACTGCCTTGCCAGTCGCAGACGCTTGTCCTGGGGAGTCTCCTCTTCACCCTCATCGGAGGAAAATGCCAGGGTGTTTGCTTCATCCTGGTCGCTATCGAACTCCTCATCCTCGCTGGCGATTTCCTCCTCCTCCTCCTTGGGCCGTCGCTGCTTCTTTGGCACGGGTCCAACGTTGGCTGTTTTTCCAGGATTTCCCGGTGTCCCTCCTTTTTTAAGGGGTTTTCCTTTTGTTGTTGTTGCGGCGGCCGCTGTGGGATTCTTTGGAGAGCGTTACAAGTGTGAGCTGAGACTTGATATTCTCTGTTTTTGCTTACCTTGCGCTTCTTGGTGCCTTTGGCACCTGGTTTGAGGAAAAATGAAGATGACATCGTAGAAACTAATCAGTTTTGTTGCTTTAATTCAATATTTTAAACGAAAAACTTAATTTAAATGCTGGAACGAGCCCACGTGCATCATATAAAGCGCCAGGAGTTTTTTAGTGCATTTCGAACAAACAGCTGTTTTCAAAGCTGCTTGCTATGAAACGCATTCGTGAGAGGCAACCCTAAAGTGCGCGGCAAGTTGGCAGATTTTTAATCTGAAAATAAAATATTTGTTTGTTATGTTCTCATAAAACTTAGAAACAGTTGGTTTAAAATATAATATAATATAATATATAATACAACAAAATTTTTCATAAAAACGCACATCATAAGGGACATCATAAGGGAAATATAAATTTTGTATAAATAAATATTGTTTAAAATTCCTCTATTAACCCAACCATTAATTAATAAATTCTGGTTTTAGTTTGAATATATTTATTGTTATATTTTAAGTAGTTCGGTTATAAGTCAACTAATAAGCTAAAAATCAAAATGGATTGCATAAACATTGGTTATTTCATTCATTCTTGTTTTTATTTTTATTTTTCTTTAAATTAGCATTAAAAGTTTGCATAATTACAATATAATGTTGTTGTTGGGTTTGAATTGAATTTTAAGTATTAGAAAATAAAATCTGATTCGTTTTTGTTGTTTATAAAATTATCACAAATTATGTATACTCTGTTTTATTCTGTAACTTTTTTTTATTAAAATTTTTAAATAAATTAGTTTTAGAGCGGTGTAAGCTCCAGATGTGGAACTCTATTGGGTACCTATAGATCAAGAGGAGCCTGCTGGTGGTGCTGCTGCTCTCGCCTAGCTAGCTAATAATTAAAACTAAGTAACGTGTAAAAAGAATCGCATTAAAAAATTGAATATAAGTAGGAATATCGCTTATGGGGGAGACCTGCGATCGCTTTACATGATCGAGCATAGGCCGGATGTTTCGACACCGTTTTGCACCTTCTTCGTCCGCTTGAGCGTTACGTTCTGCAACGCAGGCTTCAGCTCGACGACGGGCTCTGGTTCCGGCTCCACAACAGTTGGCGGCGGTGGAGTTGCCGATTTCTGACCAACTGCCTCCGTTAAAGCTTGTGTTGCACTGGCGCCGGAACTGTTACTCCGGCTGCTGCTGCTTCCATTGTTGCTGCTGCTGCTGCCGCTGGCGCCGTAACTGCTGCCAATCACTGAGATCGAGCTGACCATAGCCGGGGTGCTGGTCGCAATCTTGGGCACGAACGTGTTGCCGCCGCAGAGCACTGGAATGGTGGAAATAGTTTGAATGGTGTTCACCTGTGTGCGGATCTCCGGATCCGGTTGCTCCGCCAGCTCCTGATGATCCTCCAATGACGCTGATGGCTGACCCTTGCGAGTCCGCTGCGTCGATGATGATGATGTTGCGGCGGTGGAGGCACTATTATGACTATTACTACTTGTATTCTTAGTGATATTTATCTTTATTTTATTAACTATGCTAGCCAAAGGTAACGCCGGACCCACTGAGCTCAGATTATGCGTGGACTCCTGCGGTTCTCCGTTCAGTTCCGTTTCCGTGGCTGCGGACGTATCCGCCGGCTCCAAATCCAGGTCCGCCTCGTTGGCAGGCAGCGAGAGCGACGTAACGGACGCTGGACGTTCTATGGTCGCCGGCGAGGCGGACGATCCGATGGTATGTGTTTGAGTTTCTGCCAGGACGATGATGAAGCCAGACGATTGTGCAACATGGTCATTTACTGGGGAAGGGCTTTAAGTCAAACACTTACCGCTGCTGTGGATGGAGATCTCGTCCTCGGGCAGAGGCAGTAGGGTCACCACCGTGCCCACGTCTTCAAAGCCATCGTCCTCGTCCTCCTCATAATCGTCTTTCGGCTCTTCCTTGATTTTAACGTTGAGCAAGGCCTCCTTGGTGGCCTCATCCATTTCCTTTTCCACGTACGTGTCCAGATCGGTGAAGGGAATGTTCGGCTCTTGAATCTCCACATCGGACTCGTTGGCCGATTCACTATGGGGCTGTTGCTGGCCCTGCTCCGCGGCCCTTTCCTTCGGCTCCTTGGTCTCGGAATTAGACTCCGTCTTGTCCTGGGAGGATTCGTTGCCCATTTCCGCTCTTGTTACATTGCCGGGAACATATTCCTCCTCATCATCGTCATCAACAATCTCTGTGACGCTGGGCTCTTCATTGGGCAACACAATTACATCGTCATCGTCATCATCCAAAAATGTCTGCGAAGCTTTCGGAACATCTGCAGAATAAAAATATTGATTGCAACTCCTCCTCTTCGAATTTGCACCCTAAAACTCACCGTCTTCATCGTCGTTTACCTCCAGTTTGATCAGCGTGTCCATGGCATTGTCATCACTGTTCTTCATATCTACATCGTTGTCGGATTTCACCTCGGCAGGAGGATTCAGTGCGGCTTTGTAGTCCTCGTAGCACAGCGGATGGTAGATCTTATCTTCCACACGGATTGCGCTGCGCAGATGCCACTCCTCCAGCTCTTCGTTGTAGAACTGCTCGAACTTCTCGTGGCACATGTCGCAGCAGCGATCCACATCATCAGCTCCGGCCGCACACGTGGGCACGGGTGAGTCCAGGGACCGTTGCTGGGAGAGCTCGTCAAATGCCTCGGGACCACCCGGCTGACCCTGCGCCTCCATGAAGTTCTTTTCGCGCTCTTCCACATCCTCGATCTCCTCGTATTGCCGCCAGTCGTTGAGATCGTAGAACCAGCGCCGGGAAGTAGCCTTCCTGGTCGAGTCCCGATCCCTTCTGTTCTGCCGGAAGTGCCAGTCCAAATGCTGACTGTACTTGATCGTTTGCTCGGGTGGGAATCGCACGCCGCAGCTGCTGCACTGCATTCCGATGTAAAGCGTGGCCACCACCGCCGCCTGGCGGGTCTTGATAGTTTCAGGTTTGCGAAGATCGATACGTTTGATGGGTTCCATAGGTGGACCCGCCGGTACGGCAGCAGCAGAGGAAGCAACAGTTGCTGACGCTGTGGTGCTAGTTGTGGCTTCCGGAGCACTAGGAGTCGCTTCTTTGGTGCCTGAAGACTCCGTAGAGGTAGGTCCCGCTGCCACAGGAGCCGCTCCTCCGATTATTCCTGACGAAACGAGCTTCTGGAAGAGGTCGTTGATGTTCAAGCTGCCTAAGGCAGCGGCCGCTGCTGGCAGCGAGAGAGCGGGAGCAGGGGCTGCCGCTAAAGGTTGCTCCACCACAGGTGGTGGCTTCACAATGACCGGTGGAGGTTGGGGTGGCTCGGCCGGAGCTTCAGTCTTAATGTACACCATATCAGCCACGTGCGTCTTGCCAGCCACAACGCCCTTGGGGAGGGTTCCGAATCGTATGAAGCAGTTGCGACCCCCGTTGAGCATCATGCTTTTGGGAAGGCCGCCGTACTCGATCTTTTGCAGCTGCCCGTCCACCAGAGCATATTGAAAGCTATCCACGAACTGCAGCGAATGCTGTTCGGCGCCCAGCTGGAAGGTCTGCTGTCTGGCGTCCAGGAAAAGCGGCACAATTGTATGTGCGTCTACGATCATATTGATCTTTCCGACTACCAGATCCCGGCGCACTCGGCCAATGTCGACGTTGGGCGGCGGGCCTTCGGCCTTGAGGACGTGCAGCTTGTTGCCGATCGGCACGGAGACGGCCGGACCTCCGAAGTAGATCTCGTACCAGTGATCGTCGATGTAGAGCTCGCGGGACGGAAACCCAAAGCGGATGCGATGCAGCTGGCCATCCAACTGGAAGGGCTTGTAGTCGTCGTTGAAGCTCAGGGGCAATGGCTCGTTGTGGTCGATAAGAATCACTCGCTGACCCTGCTGGAAGCCGATCTCGTGGGGCTCGTCGCCGGCCATAAAGATAATGGCTACCTGGTTGTAGAAACGAATCTCCTTGGATCCACCGTCGATGGTGATGCTACGCACGACGTCCGCCATGGGATTATCCAGTGAATTAATGGCCTTGCTTATTTGCACGGGCGGCACGGGGGGCAGTCCAATCATCGACGGCGGCTGAGGCGGCGGCGGAACTATAGACTGTGCCATTACCATGGCCGGAGGAGGTTGCTGCCACGGCATTCCACGGAAATTAGGTTGGTTCGGGATAGGCATCTGCATGCCTACTCCCATTCCTCCTCCTCGCTTGTTGTTGTTATTATTATTATTAGCCATTTGCCAGGCCGCACGTTGAGCTGCCACAGGATCCACCTGATCGCCCCATTTAGTGGGCTTGCGTCTCTTAAGTTCCCTCTTAGCTTTATCCCTCTTGTTTGAGGGCTTCTCTGGAACTGCTGCTGCCGGCTGTTCCTCGTATCTGGGCGAGCCGTCGCTGCGAGGCGAGCCAGACGAATGATTCTCGTTGCCCTTAAGCTTGGGTATGCGTTTGCGTAGAACTGCATCCCTGGCAGCATTGCGATCCAAGTCAAGATCATCGTCACGTCGACGGTCGGCCTTGTTCTTGCTGCTTTCGTTGATGGCTACCACTTTCTGGACTAGATCCTTGTACTGCTCCTGATTCATGCTGTGATTCTCGTACATCTCCTGCGCCTGGCTGAGAATCGTTCGCATCTTTTCATCGTGTGCCTCCTGGGAATCATCGTTGGCTTTCAACTCAGCTAATTGCTTGATGCGCTGTGATACGCCCTGTTCCTTGCTCTTGTTATCTGTGGGGGGGAATCAAGGAAGTTCCAGTCTATATTCTAATCGATAAATCTTTTTAATCTTTTCTTTGTCTACTTACCCAACTTGCCGGACTTGCTCTGCTGGCGCGCTGACTTGGCCAACTTGGCACGCAGCTCCTCGAGCGTTGCCTTCTTTGGCTGCGAAGTAGACTTCATTGTGGTCTGTAAAGACACATTATTTAGATGTAAGAAAATCCCAATATTACCAACTTACCTCGCTCAAATCGCAATCATCCATAGAGTCGTCTTCCACCACAATAACGCCTGGCTTCACGGCGGGATTCTCGCGGCGCAGGTCTACATCCTCGCTGCCAAAGAGACTGGGCAAGACAATGATATTAGTATACAACTATATAAGGTAAAAGAGTCTTCTTCTTCGCATAACTTACGCGTCCAGTTTGGCAGACTTGCTGCGCTTCTGGGCCTGCGACAGCTCCTCCTCTTCGGTCCCCAGAGGTACGGGATCGGCGGGTCGCTTCTGTCCAACGGGATTGGGTACGCCCTGCACTAGCAGCAGCTTATTGATGGACTGCTGCAGCGCGTCAGATACGTTACCCTGGGATGACGAGGACGAGGCTGCTGGGACAACAGGTGGTGATGATGATGAGGTGGCAGTGGCTGCTGAGGTCGTAGGGTTTAGCAGTGATGCTGCTGTTGATAGATTCGCTGTAGATTTTTCTAATTTATTAAACTGTTTTTGTATTTTGAACGACACTTTTGCGGGCAATTTGGAAGTGGACGAGGACGTTGACGAAGATGAAGACGAAGACGCGGAGGCGTTACTAGCTAGTATTGTTGTGCTGCTGCTGCTGCTACTACTGCTGCTGCTGCTCTTTTTGTTGGCCTTCGTGTCGAGACTGTCGGTTGGATCGAAGAAAGGGGGCGGCGGCGTCTTTGGCCGCTGCCTCAATCAGTGTCCAAAGACGATACGTCTATAATCGGCGGACTTGGAGGCGCTGGAGGAGTAGGGCCTAGTTCAAGTATTTGAAATGTAGCTAGAAAATTGATTTTGCTTTGGTTTCGGGGCACACATTGTGGAGAGGAGGAAACGGAAACTGAACCGAATAGAAATATTTAAGCAGAAAGTGGTCTAGATGGAACTAGGGGCAAAATCATAATGAAATTAAAAGAGGGCGGGCACAACAAGACCAAAAAACACCAGGCACAACAACAATAAGGCTAGAGAAAGAGTAATTAATAAATAAAACATAAATCCGTAGGGGACCTTATAAAGATTAGACTAAAAAACTAAAATTACGATTGAAAAGTTAAACAGTAATTAAATGAAGGGTAAAAGTGCCGTTCTACAAAATACAAAATTATATATAACATTTACTTATACCAACACTACAACGAATGCTCTTAAATCAAAACCGTAAACATTAAGTTTTGCCTTGGGTAGTGCCCAATTTTTAGTTTCAAGTTTACAATTAGCCTCGTTTACACGGGTTTGGTTAACAACAAATTAAAACAGTCGGCAGTCTTTATTTTATTTGAGTTTATCTCTTCATCTAATCAATCATCAAATTTATCAATAGTCTGTTTGGTTTGGCTTAAAAGGTTTTACAGGAAATATACTTGACATGGTTTAAGTTTGGGTTTAAATTTAGTTTGTACTTTTTTCGTTGGCGGCACCTGGCTTTGTAATTTGCATTAATTAAAACAACTTGGAATGCAAAAGGGTTTCAAACACATTTTTTATTTACACTTTTCGTTTACGATTGTTTAAACTTTTGGCATTTTTCTTTTTGTTTATGAATTCATTAAAGCAGGCTTAAGTATTTATCAAAAAATATGGCATAAGTTAGTTTATTATAGGTTGATTGGTTGCCTTAAAACGATTCAAAAATTCCCCAGTTAAAAGAACAACGAAGGATTCCCAACGTTCCAGCAGGTGGTCGAGTCTTTTTCAAAGAGATTTTAAGAAGATATTTCTTCTAAAAAAAATATAAGATCTAATGGAAACATCAGAAGATTTGTAAAATCCATCGGGAAACAATCAAATCTCTCGGAGAATCATTGCCAAAAATATATATGTGTATATGCCCATATCCATGGGTACACATGCATCACAGCTTGGTTTTATATCACAGACATCGGTTAAAGCATAGTCGAGAACTTCCCTTAGCAACTCAACCGCCAACGACCTGAAGGACCCGCCCTTTTTCCACCTGCCTAAGCCATCGAGTGCCGCCAATATGGTTCGTTATTTCTGCATTTTCAACTACGCTTTTGTCGTATGTAGTGGGGCTACGTTCCAAGTCGAAGAAGACGACAACTTGGTTGCTGGCTAACAAGTGTGAAATTAGAATTAAAAATGGTTTCTTACGTTTCTCTAAATCATTTGGTGCTTTTGCTGCTGCTGATGACGAGGATGATGTTGTCACCTGAGGTAGGGAGACGAGTACCGCTGCCTTTGGCTGTGGTGACTTGCTGCGGCGCAGATCAATGTCCATGAAGACCGGTGATCGACTGCGCGATCGCCCGGATGATGACTTTCCCCTCGACGAAGACGAGGAGGTTTTCTGTGATGTGTTGCGTTTGGACTTGGAGGGCGAAGCGCCTGGCGAGGAGCTCTTGCGCTTCGTGGGCGATCCGTTGCGAGCATAGGGATCTGAGCGATCTTTGGAGCTCTTTCCGGATCGCTTTGCCGGTGATTGAGCTGACCTGCTGCCATTTTTATGCCGCACATCGGTGCCCGACGAGGATGAAGAGGCTGTGGAGCTTTTGGACTCGCTTCGCTTGCGGTTGGACGAGCTGCTATGGTTGCTCTTGTCAGAACGACTGCTGTTATTTCGCACAGGTGACTTGCTACGCGAGCGACTAGATTTCTGTGAGTTCGATGAGGTGACTTGGCCTTCAGGCGAGGATCAGTGTGTACGGGTGCGACCGACTGCGATGAGGATTGAGCCTGCATCTGTCGCGCCAGTCGCGGATCTCGGGGGCGCACAGAGTTGAGCAAGGCTGGATTGACTGGATTTACTTTTGGCTTGGCCGGAAACTGCTGCAGAAGGGAATTTAAAGATAACTCTACAATAAACAAAGATCACACTCAGAAGTTTTGGCTTACCTGTGAGGCCACTGGCATATTGGGCATCATACCCATTGGGGGTGGCGGCCGTTGATGACGCATGGCACCCGTAGCGGCGGGATCCACAATGGGCGGGGGTATGGCAGATGTCGTTGGCCCTGGCATGACCATTGGAGCTATCGTATCGTTAAGCTGACGTTCTTGCTCCTCTAAATGCTTCTTGGTTTGCTCGAGCTCAAGCTCTAGTTTGCGCTTTTTAAGCTCCAGTAGCTCGCGTGTTTTGGCCTGCAGAATCTCTTCCATATCGCTGGCCATGTGGTGTTAACGGGCATCACAGGAACCATGCCCTGGTAAGGATTTAATATCGAATTTAGTTCGATTTTACTTTTAAAAGTTTTTAGGTATAATTACCGTCTTTAAAAAGTCTGGATTAACGTGAATGGCTGGATTAACATGGATCTTGTTGGCTGCTGGCTGTTTGGCGGTAATTGGCCAATTATTATCCAATCGTTTGACCTTCATATCCAAGGCATACATTTTGATTGTGGGAATACCTCGTTCCAGGTCTGTCGCAGGGCATACATACGTTCGCGTACCTTTTCCAGGACTTGCGACTGTGAGTTTTGCACCTGTGATAATAATTATTTTTTAGATTTTTAGCTCATAAAAATAACTAAATCGATGGTGACTTACCGACTCAAAGGCGTTGAGGAATATGTTGACTATGCATTGCCCAAACAACTGGACGTAGCTGCTTTTCACATTCTTTATTATCGAATCAATTAAATATAGTATGGGCAATTTAAACTCGGGCGCCACCTGTTTAGAGTTTGGTAAAATAGGTGAGAAAAAGAGAACAATAAGTGTCTAGTGGGGGCGTCGCTAGCAAAGATGCGATTCGAACAGAGAGATGGACAGAACAAGGGTGGACGACGACTAACAGACACATCAGCACGTTCAGCGTTCATCCAGCGACATCATCCAAAGAGGTCATCCACGGCTGGGCCAACTTTATTTTTGATTAATTCCATGGTGAAGCGACCTAATCTCCACGGGACAGGGGTCCTAACAAGGGAAACTATATTCTGGGACAGTGTAGTGTTCGGAGTATAAAGTTAGCATTAGGTTTAACCCTCTTTCGAGCAAAAGAAGCATTGAAATTTAACAATAAAACTACTTAGGGCTTTTAATTGAAATGTTACCAAAATTTGCGATTATTTTCTTTTCTTTTTGGCAATACAAAAATTGCTGCACATCACTCTCTTACGAACGATGCTGGTAAGCAGGCAATGTTTTTTGTATAAAATAAAAGACAACTTGGTGACAATTGTTTAAGTATTTTCTCTTTTTATTGCGTTTTTCTTGTTTTTGGTTTATTATTAATCTTTTTTTCGTTGTTTCTGTTTAGCTTTAAACTCTGGGAACCAAAGTAGAAAGAAATAAGAAAGGAGCAGTCTTACCTTTGTAGAAGATTAAAACGACAGTTCCGGCTTAAAACCCAAATTATGTGATAAATATTAAGATATAAAACCTATCTACCGTTAAAGGAGATTTATGGGGGAAGGCTCATTTGCTAAGGAACACCAACGAGGACGGAAAATATGACTATTAAAACGGTTATCAGTTTTAAAAAAAGAGAAGGGATCTAAATGTATTATTAAATCTTGATATAGTTACAAATATAGTCTATATAAAATGGTTTTAAGTGATATAGAAAGAAATATCAAACCATTGAATATCAATAAATAACTAAAACTAGGAAAAACACTGTCTCTCGTTAGAGTTCCTTGCAAAATCAAACAGCATCCGTCAACCACACTTTGTACAACAACTTTGACATGAACTCGTCGCTAAAAGATACCTTCTGTTCACTGAGCACGTGTGTGTGGTGTCTTGGTCTCTAAAAAATTACGCTTGTTTTTTTTGTTAACCTGGCTGATGTAGTACTCCACCACGCGGACTATGACGGGAGCATAGCTGATGTTCTCCTCGGCGAGCATCGTGAGCATATTGATGAGTGGCTTGCTGTTGCAGTTCAGATCCTGCAAACTGGACAGATACTCCTCGCCGATCCGCCGCTCATCCTCGCGATAGTTCTGAAATAACTGCTCCATTGTGGCGGCCAGACTCGCTTAGCTCTTCCTTGATCCTTGATCAAGTTTTTAGGCTTTCAACTCAATTGCAGTTGTTAGTTTTCGCTGCAAGGGAGAAACGAAAAACATCAGATTTGACACAAGCACGAATATTATTTTTAATTCAACTATTAGGCATTCAACTAATTAAGGCAAGTCTGGTTAATGCGCGTTTTCTTTTGATTATTAAATGCCAGACATACATATGTAAACAATCACGAACGTCCACAAACAACAAGCCGCCGCACAACACACTCACACAAACATACAAACATATGTATGTTGCAAAAATTCAATATGGCGGACGTGAGACATGTATTTTTTGCACGCAAATGGCCTCGCCGTTAATAACCAAAAATTATTTATATTTATAGTGTTATGGGCCTGTTTTCCATAGGAAAAACCAAAAGCAAACATTCGTTGATGGCCTTGTTCGGTTTTCTGGCATGATTTCATCGTTTTTCCCCAGACAAAGCCACGTTTATGTTACCAATACACATGCACACACGTTTTTTTCATATCCACTTAAAACACACTTTATCGCCGCAAACACTTTTATAAACATACCTTTTTATGCTAATACATTTGTACAATCACTGCAAGACACTTTCCTGAGATAAAATTTTCAAGAAAACACTTGGAAACTATATAATTATACGTTTGAAAACTCTCACGTAACAACTGTTTTTGATGAATGTGTACTTCGAACAGTGTTGCTAGACAGCAAAGTCAGAGCATACCTAAATTTCATACTTTGTGAAATACCAAAATGAAAACTAACACGTTTCCACTGAGAACGCAAATATATTTTGAACAAGAAAGGAAGCAAGTTTGGCACACCAAAGTTCTTATTTCCTTAAGAATTGGAATTCGATCATTAATATCATAATTTGTGTCAAATAAAACGAATTAATGCATAATTCATATTCACACTTTAGTTTCCTATGGCATCTATACGGTTAAGTAGTCGGATTTACATAAAATGTAAACCGAAATTATAGAATAAAACAAGATGGCTTTGATGGATATATGGAAATATATTTATATATATATTGTATGTTGTATATGATAAAGTTGTTGATCCGACCCGTTCCGACTTGGTTACAAATGAGACTTTATAAAATATAAATTTAAAGCTTCATTCAGATATTTCCAAAACTGAGAAACTACATCAAGAATATTTTCAATTTATATTGTCGGAAATGACTCCTGCACTGCTTTGTAAACTTTTGACTGAAATTTGTATACCTTGCAGGGTATAAATACGTTACGTTTTTTAAAGTAATTTGACTGCCTATTAAGGTATTTATTTAATTAAAGTTGCAGTCAAATTTTATCATCAATATATGATTTTATTACAAAATTACCGAAATAGTATTTCTTGTATTGTGTTAGTATTTTTTTACCTAACTTCCTTACTAGTATATACCAGCTCTCCGCTTGGTCACATTCTTACAATTTTAGCAATAAACAAACGAAACGCAAATGCTAGCTAAACTGGATAATTAAATAAATAAAAAGGTCACGGATAAGTTAGGACGCACTCGGGACGTGTGGGCACGTGTCAAGATGTTGGTCAAGTGCAGCATGGGGGCGCTGTGGCCCCTGGCGATGCTGGTCGCCTTTTCCACTGCCTACAAAAATGGTGAGTTTGCATAGTGTTTAGGTCAAGGGATTTCCCTTTCTTATTATTCATCTCCTCATTTCAGTTCGCCTGCAGGATAGCATTGCTCGGACAAACTCTTCTACACGCTGTCCAAGCCGTTCCGGGGCGACCCCACGGTGCGGCTGGAGTTTGACGATGATTCCGGAGCTATCATAACGCAGGCGTGGAACCTGACACTGCCCCACGGACATGCGGCCAACAAGATCAAGTACGACTGCCAGTTCCGAGTGCTGACCAACGAGCGGCCGCCGCGCGGCATTTACACCATCATCACGCGGCTCAAGTTTCGGCGCGATCCCGTGTCGAAGCAGTGCATCGACTACATTCAGTTTAGCAGCGGCAATCGCTCGCCCAGCGAGCGCATTTGCACGGACATTGCCATCGATGGGCCGGCCGGGCGGCTGATCTTCGACCAGCGTGACCGTGAGGTCAACGTTCACATTTTTATTGACCGCTCGCGACACATCCTGGGTGACCCGCTTGAACTGCGTATGGTTCTGACCGCCCACTCTGAGTGCCAGTTCAACGGCGACTTCTTGTGCGATCCCAAGGACCCGTACTCGTGCATCTCGCGTCACTTTGTGCGGGACAACATCACCAACTGCCTGTATCCGTGCCGTGACGAGGGCACCTGCTTCCACGACGCCATCGTGACGGAGGAGATAGACACAGCCAATGTGGCCATATCGGCCCTGACGTCGCTCATCTTCACCATGCTGGGCGTCGGCTTCTGCGTATGGATCTGCTGGAAGTACTGGAACTGCATTACTGTGCAGCAGCGGGCGCATGAGGCCTCCGCCGCACGATTTAACCAGCGCCGTGCCAGGGTGAGAAAAGGTTTCGCAATTATATGGGTTTACAAACTAATTGTCACCCTCTCTTGCAGTCGGATGTGCCTACCATTGAGCTGCCAACGGCTCCGCAGTACGATGATGGCGTGCTGCACGAGCACGATCCCCAGCAGCAGCAACCGGCAACACCCAAGGATCTGCCGCCTAGCTACGAGTCACTGTTTCCGGACAGATAAGGATCCGTGGCTTCGGCTTTGATTCCGCTTTGTGCCAGATCAGCAAGTCCTTGGCATCGCACACTTGTTGTATTAGTCCTATTAGGTAATCGTATCTCTATATCTGAACAGATCAGCATTCCGTGTAAATATGTTAGGACTGATTTATTGTTTTGTGATTAGCGTTAGCGGCACCTTTGTCAATGTGTTCACTTGGAACCGAAACCCCAAAGTATTTTGTATATATTTAAGTCTGACATTCCCCAACACTCTGTATTAGCTCAGTATATATGAGCATTTCTCCAAGAATACTCCCTTGAGAATCTCTACACAGGTTTACAGTTTTACTATTGTATATATTTAAGTTTTATGTTCTGTCACACACTCTGCAGCTAAGAGTATTTGTAACTGTTGAAGCCGCCTTTTGGCGAAGTTAATTGTTTAATCACTGATGAAATCTCACTGATATTACCGAAACTCTATGAAAATTATATCAATTATTTACCTAAGCAACAATTATTTATAAGCCACAATGTACTCGTCTCTGTATTAGCTAGCGTAAATATTCCAAGGTCAGCAATGGCTTCGCAAATGCCAGCATTCCACATAGTTGTACCTGTTTCTGTGTACTGCATAGATGTATGTATGTTACGTATTTGTACGCCTAGAGAAAAAACACGCGCTTGTAGTTGTCCTTGTTGTGTGCCGGCAGAAAGTGTCAATTGTTTAACCCATAATGAGATTACAATAACTAGGCACACGCGCTAACCAGATTATCTATGTGTAAGAACTACAGTATTTACTCCAAATATGCAAATGAGAGCGGGCCATATTGTGGCCAGTACGTCTTAAGCCAATTAACTCATATGTATACACACGCAACTCACTCAAATACGTATTATAAACCGATAAATAAACCAACTAAATCAAACCGAGCGTGTCGAAAGTGCGGGAGGGAATCACCTTCCTCGGCACCCACCTCTGATCATCATCATCATACCCCCCTGGTTGGGTGCTTGGGGTTTGGGGGTTTCATCACATGGTGACACACTTCGTGAATCAGCACGTGCCTTATCCAAAAAGCGAAAACCTGTCGAACTTGCAAGCTTTAGTTTCATCTCGCCACAAATCGACGCTTTGGTCACGACTAGGTGGCCACTGCCTCTGCGTCATCCGTGGTCTAATCAATTTCTGAACCGGCTTACGTCATTAACTGAGAGCTTCCTCCTCCTCTCCTTCGCATAGATGAGTGCTGGACGCAGAGCGGCACGTGTTGGGGTCACCTGGGACGTTGACTCTAGGCAATTGACCAAACTGGTTATTGCCATCGGGTATCTGCGAGACAATTTGCCGTCCAATCCGTGCCCCCGTTCAATGTCGGCCCATCGCAATTGTCTGATTGCCTTGGTTGGAGTCGCAGTATGCGAATCAATTAGCGAATGTGCAGCCCTCTTGACAACTGGTAGCACGGCTCTATGAATCCACAGATCTCTCGGTATATATATAACGCCCAGGTGCCAATTTTAACACGCACACAAAAGAGACGAAGCCAGACAATGCTCTATCCATCAAGTTCAGGGTCACAAGCATGAAATGGCCAATCGCCGATCAATTCGCCGCTTATAATCAACGCTTGGCCTTAATTAGAGTCAAACACCTGATAAGAGAAGTCTTTGGTGGTTGTCTAATTGTAGGTCTTGGTGGCCTGTACAATCCATCATTTCTTGGGCGAAAACACTTGGGCATCCTAGAAATTTCACTCGATCTTCGTCTGACGCTTAGATGTTGTCAAATCGCGAAATTCGTGGTGCGAATTAGCACCCGCGAGTGGGGCGTGTAGGTGTGAGTTCAATATAACGATCACGCCCAAAAATAAACCCTAAGCAAAGCGACTTTCCTGAGATACTTTTGCAGAAGGGGAGCTGCCTTCGCGGTTATTTTCAGAGCCAACAATAACGGTAACCAAGGATCTGAGCTTTGGTATATGGTGGGGTTTATATTTAGAACAATATGTGTCAGATATATATAAAATCAGGGAGGAAATGTTTGTAATTTCAAGCAATTACATCAAATCAAATCATCCACTGCGTAAAAGAGGTCGTAAATTCTAGAATCATATCAAAATTGGTCTTATCTTTAAGGCATTACGCAGACATTATCAATAAGATATGCCTACGATCCTATAAATATATTGTTTATATAATATTGAATCATCAGAAGCACATTTTGATTATTTCTGTGTTCTTTTGAGGACTATCTCATATAATAACAAATGATACTCTGTGAGATCTAATGGTGTTATTTGTGTTTTTACTATTTTGATTGTTTCTGATATCTGATAAACAGGTTTTGGATTTTTTTGAATGCGCTAATATTTCATAATAATATTTGCCAGAGCTATCTGCCTCTATAAATGGAACTTTATATAGTATCCTATATGCTGGGTGTGTGCAAGGTAACCACAAGAACAGCAAGTCGAAAACCAAACCCCCTTCTAATCATTCATCGAATCTGCGGTGGCGACATTTGCACCTCCGTCTCCACAAAGCCATTGTTTAATGTTTTGGCCAGCAATTAGATACGGCGCTCTAACCAATCTCGAGCCAACAACCAATTGTATGAATTACTTTCTCGCCCACGCGAGAGCGCGTGACTCATACGCAGTGGTGGTCGCACAAAGAAACTACAGTCGGCAACAACCAGCACCAGCAACCAGCAATCAGCTACCAGCTAACCAGCAAGAGCAGCTCCGGCTCCGGCTAAAAGTTGTGGGTAAATCATGCCGCTCGCTCAGTCTGCGATACACAGTCGACGCTGAAAGATCGATTCGGCGGACAGTCCGCATCCAAGTCCAAACCCGTAACATTTCCATATTCAATATACCCCACAACCAGTCAGTCGCCCGGTGAAATTCTCAGTGCAGTGAACGATTTATGGAAATATATTGATTGCAATTCAACCAGACAAGTGTGTGAATTAAAAGCAAATAATAAACAACAGTCCCTGCTACCTGAACATATACCCCTTAAACCTATTGCAATGGAATATCGCCGACCAGATCGCAGCCAGACAATGCTGCTAATTATGATAGGTGAGTCTCCCCGCCGAGAGTCAGGCCTTTTCTGGATATAATGTGCATCAAGACATATAAATACATATATAGAAACACAATAAGCACGCTTTGCTATATGCTAATTGTGTGAACGTTAGCTTCGACAAGCCCTTGTTGATTGGTCTTCATTGTCCTATGAATAAACATCATCAAAGCAATTCATTGAATGGGATTTACTAAACAATTTATAGTATAGAAATACCAGGAAAAATAACAAAACGTTGATTTTTAAAATATTCATTAGAATAATCCATAATTAAATGAAATCTGTGGGATTATCAATCATTTCAAACTAGAAGTTTTCTATTTAATGACTTAAAAAGTCGGAAAAACAACCCCAGATATATCTTATATAGCCCAGAAATCCGCAGACAAAACTTATCAGTTCAAATTTGAATACCTATAATAACCTTAAACGTTTGTTTGAGGAACCTCAAGACGTCAAGACCATATCATGATCATCTTGGGGCTCAGCCATCGTAAACCAGTTAATGATGTCTATACGAGGCCCGTCATCTGCTAATCCCCATGGTAGATAAGAACTTAGTACCGGCAGCCCATGTGATCACCTCATAAATATCATCCAAGCGAATCAAAGTCAAAGCCCCTCGTCATTCGGGTGACATTTCAGGGGGCCTGCGACTTGGTTTTTTTTTTCCATTTTCCCGCAATTTATGAAAACTGGTTTACACTCAAATCGTGTCTGGCTAATGAATAATGAAGCGATTAAATCGGGGTGCTCTACTCCCTACGACTTACGGATAATGGCTGTAAATCACGGAAATTCCCAGAATTCGGCTTTCTCAGTCGGTTCAAGGCGAATGGAGTTCGTTTATCTGTAACTTCAATAAATAATAAATAAGTCGTGCACATGGCGCGTACATGCCACCCCATTCCTACTCCCATTTCACCTGCTCGTTTGCACAGGTGTCACCGCACCACACCGCACACCACACTCGCGCTTAGCTTAAACTGCTGACGTTGACTCCATCACGTTTTGCCATTAGAAGTTAATTAGAATTTAATTGCTAATATTTTGTTGTTTTTGCCGCGCTTGTGGTTGTGCGATGGGTGTTTGCCACCTTATCAGTTATCAGTTGACACTCTATAAATAACCAAACACCCGCACAATTTTATCCACCGTAAGGTTAACTGGTATCTAGCTAACGCTCCCTTAAGAACCCACACACCCATTATTTATAGGTGCTTTGGGTGGTGCTATTTTTAGAAGTCCATATATCAAGTTCCATAAGCAGGCAGAACTGGAACATGGTCGACAAGATTTCTTTTTCTGCCTTTTATGGTATGGCAACATTTTCAGATAAGCCAGATGATGTTTCCTCTGGGTTTTATCAGCATGGAAAATATTTTGTTAAGACTAATAGAAAGATTCCCTGATGACTTTGTCGAAAGACTTTAGAATGGAATTATTTTTGATAAAATTAAAACAAATATTCCATTAATCTAACTTGTTTTTAATGTGAAGTTTCCACTTGAACTTTTTTACTAATCTGGTGGCTAGATGCCTCGGGTTTTATTAGGGATTTATGATACTTTTTTTCTCAAAACCACATAAATCAGTTTAAATTCACTTAAAAATAACCCCTGACGTACTATATTATTACCAGACTTTCCTATCTCCTTAACTTTTATAATTGTTTCTTGGCTAGACAATGGGGCGTATGAGTGATCCGTATTCCCAAGCCATAATCAGTTGCGCAACTTTACCCTGGGACTGCCCAATCGAAAAAAAGGTTACTGTGGGAATGACCAGCTGTAGCATCCCCAACCTAGGTCAACAATTTTGATTGTGCCTTCCCATAAAATTTCATCACATTCGTTGTGAAATTGATAGAGGAAGAGTCTCGACTCAAATCAAATAATTATTGACAGCCGACAGGCAGTAAAGATATTTTTGGTCTGAGTAACGATTGGGGTGCCGTGTGCCGTTATGGCTCCCGCTCCCAAACGACAATCTATCAATCCATCCATTTATTCCATGGACGCACCCTCGATGGCGAAATGTGACGATGAAATTGTGTTCTGCCGCCAAAGAAGTGTGCAAACAGTTGTCAACACCCATCGCTGGGTCCTCTAATTGAGATAGGGAAGGTGGAGACAGAACGCAACGTTATTTTTTATTGCCGGCAGCTTAGCGAGCATTTATGGTGTTTATGTTTATGTGTAGTGTGTGGTTTCCTGGTCACGTCAAAATATTTTGCAAGCAGGTGGAAAGATAATGCCAACATCAGCTTAGCACCTACCCCACTGGCTCTAGATCTGGAGGATATTCTCCAGTCCATATCAGGGCACTAGATATATTCTTCCAAAAACTTACCTCAGACACTGGGTCGTCACTGGGGCGGGTTTGCCTCTTATTATCAAGTCAAGTGGCTATAGCCGTAAACTTAACCGCCGATTATTAAGTGATCCATTGCTAAGGGGGGAACGCCCCGTTGACAGCGGCTATATATAGACCCACTTATCAGTCGGGGAGGATGATGATGATTATGATGTTGGACCTCTCCCTCACCTGAAAGAAAATCTAGGCATTCGCACGCCGCTGAATGGACGCGATAAGCTATCATCTATCAGTGAGCTCACCACCACTCCGTCTTGCTTTCCCTGATATCACAACCACTAATGCCTCTTTTCCGCTCCGCTCCGCTCCTCACCATGGTCTGCTGTTCGATTCGATTTGATTCGATGCGGTTTGGTTTGGTTCGGCCTGGGCATTCTACTCCATTTCAGTGCTCATCGCCTGCCCGAGCAGTGCACACGGTCAGTCCTATTTGTTCAGCCTGGAGAACGTCCTCAACGAGTCCTCGCGACAGCTGCCCCGCAACCTTACGTCTGCAAACGGAACCACCGAGGTGGATCTGTTTCCTGAAAACATAGCGAACAATACACGGATTATTGTCTACAAAAATAGTAAGTATTTGTGAACGAAGAGATATTTAAGTGTGGTTCAGTTAAGAAAATAAACAATAAAGAAAGCTAAATTCGAGAAGCTGAGTGTGTATACTCGCATTGCCATTACGATTTTGATTCGCAAGAAAACCAAAATTTATAAATTTGTTATGGTAATTTTTTGGGTAAATCACAGTTTTTAAAATATCATAACAAGGTCAATTCATGAATTTCAATTCGGAAAGCTGTTCTATGCTAGTTTTTGTTAGGTATGTTTAAAATTTAAAATTTTTTTAAAATTTTGTCAATTTTTCACAATTTCACAAGATTTTTTCACAAGATTTGCTGTTCATGCTGATCAAAAATATATATGATTTATTGGGTCAAAAACGACTCCTTCACCGACTCTTCATTGATTGATTGATTGTTCTGATTGAAATTTTAATACCCAGCTAGGGTTTAAAAATGTAGCAAAGTTTGGGCCAAAATAGATAAAGTATCTTAAGAGTAGGAAATCAATATTCGTGAATAATTTATAACCCCTAATACGAAATTAAATTAAATGAAATTTAAATGAAGTAATGGTGTCCATGGCAATAAGAGAATTAATTGGATTGGAAGTGAATGCATAGCTAGCACATCAGATACTGGCCTAGGACTAATCTCTCTTATAGACTATAAACATGTATAATTGTGATGGTTAAGACTTACCGCAGTGGAGGATACATAGTTATCATTTCCTTAGGTATCATCAAAGTGAGCTTCATCTGGCTGTCTAGATGTATCGGTCAGGTGTTGTTTTTGATGTCGAAGGGCAATTACTATCACTACCACTATCACTTTAGATGTAAACACCGGCCTCCCCGCGGACAGGCTGAGGCCAGTGCAACGGCAATACCTGTATTTATAGTCCTTGAGGAAAGAGAACAAAGAAACTAAGAGCGAGAGAGGAAGAGGTGTCGCCAGAGATAGGCAGAAAAAGGAAAGTTTGTTCATTTATTAAATATTTATTACATTATAAACCGGCTCTTAAGAACATTAACACGAAAGTTAGTCGGAGTAATCTAAGAGTAATCTAGAACAGTTCCGAAGCTATCCCCAACAGCATCGCAATAAGTAAACACTTGTTTCTACCACACTTCCAACGAAGATTTTTCTACGAGATATAGCAAGTAATAAACAAACTTATAGAAATAACATTTGTTTTCCTTTTTCTTCATCTATATAAGCCCCTAAAGCTCAACTTCCGCTATCTTATCAAGACTAAATAAATAAATTGACATGTTCTTATAGTGATAAGTTATCTGGTGGCATTTAAATAAGTTTTTATTTTTAAAACCCTTTAAAACTATTACAAAATATAGATATTTTTTGTTCCGTGCTCACAGAGCTCTGTAAACATTAGTAAACATTAATAACTAAGATCAAGAAAGCTTTAGCTGGAATTACATGAGTCCAGTTTCATAACACTTGTCCACTGGTTATATCTCAATTTTACTGGAACCCTTGGAACCGACCCAACAATCAATCAACACATCAATTTCTGGTTAATTGTGGTGCCCACAACTGGGGTTAGCCCCCATATCAACTGTACTCTTGGTCATTAGCGTAGGCATTAGCGTAGTTCGATGACGAGACAGTAACGCGATTCGAGTTTCGTCATAAACTTTATGGCCCAGACACAGAATTCGTGACTACAGGCAATCGGCAATCAGCCATCATTTCTGTGATAAGCTGATGCCAAAGCAACACACTCTGGGTTTTGGGATAAAAAAAGTTATTCTTGTTTCTGGTGAAATATTTTCGGAGTTCCATAAGGTTCTAGGTATAAATGAATATTATTTCTATAACATTGCTAACTTAAGATCTTTAAGATCTAAATGTTACAATATATTTTTATAAAATATTGAGCTTCGTATTGGAATGTTATATTTTATGTACAAATCTGTTATTTGATTAATTAATTAAGCCACATGACTGGGTGTGTTGAGGCTAGGTTTTGTACAATTTCCGCTGGTTTTTACTGCTTCTAATTAATACTAATCATTTTAAATCTTAATTACAGCTGTCGTCGAGTCGTCCAACGACCTATCCCAGACAGCGATGGATGTGATCACAATTGTGTGGTATGTGGCCACCTTTTTGGCCCTCGCCGCCTTCTTCATGCTGATGGCCTGTTCGGATCGTCGCTGCCGCGACATGAGACGTCGTCCCACTGGAGGTCAGTCCACGGAGGGATTAAGGGCACCACCCACACCGTCACCCTCGTACAGTGAATTCGCACCGCCCAGCTACGATACAGTGATAAAAATGCAGCATGCGGCCAAGACGAGCGTGTTCGTGATACCCTTTAATAACAAGGGTAGCGAGGTGGAAGCACCACCAACGTCGCCACCGCCGCCTCTCTCTGCCAGTCCATTGCCACCTTCCATAACCTGCAATGTGTTTACCGTTAATGAACTGCAAAAGTCGGCCAACTAACCGATAAGCAGAAGGTGAATCCTCCGAGCGAATCGCCGTGAATCCAATCTGTGATATTTGCTGTTTATGGCAATGGGCCAAGTACGAGTATTAGCCGTCTTAAGATCCCCAATCCCAAAAAGACTGACAACAAATGATAAAATGCCAGTTCAACTGAAAATATATATGAATAAGTTAATTAAATATAGAAATATTAATGAATGTGATTCAGTTGTGTTTGTTTTCATTTTCTAAGAACTTGGCTTTTGAATAATTATAGGGCTTATTGAGCGGATATAACAAGTTATGCCTGAACTTGTGTGGCAACGCTTCTAACTAAAAGCTTTTGCTTGGCCATATCTGATACCAAAACCGAATTGATGAAGCTTTCCTAGGGAAAGCTTTGGGGAAAACTTAACTGATAAGCGCTGAGTTTAGTTCAGGGGAATTTTCAAAGTTAAGGGGAGTCCCCTTTTGAACTTGGGGGAGGGGCTTTAATCTTTGCTTGGGTTATCTGTGGATCTGGAGCTGAAACGCGTTCCGAGTAATCTTGATATCAGTCCCTCTGGTTATACTGATAATTTAAAAGTTTGTTTAATGATCTCTCTAGAAGAACAAATTAATAAAGAAAAGAAAATACTTATGGACTACAAAAGAAATACAAAAATAAGTCCAGAGTTAATACAAATAAAACACTTATATCTCTTCACACCCAATGCCATTTAATGTCTCAGGGTCAGGCATTTAGTTCATTCATTGATTTTTTCCAGTTAATTTCTTAGCCAGCCGGCAGCAGTTGTTGTTTAGATCCCATTGAAGGCAACATCTGGTGGCAGTTCCAACAAAAAAAAAAGACAGAATTCGCTTTCTGGGGCACAGTCAGCACGCCGCACACGGCGTATGCGCAATATTTCACATATTGTTTATTTTGCACACACACCAAAAATGTTTTCGAAAATTACACAAAACAAAAGGCTGTTGAGTTGATAAAAGAGACGATCGAGATCGGGGCGGGTGTATACCAAACCAGATCGGATTGCAGTAAAATCACGTTACGCCCCGCTCAATGCGGTTCATTTGATGCCAGAGACCATCTCGTTGTGTTCTTGGTGCATCTTTGCTCTCCTTGTGCTGACTGCTCTTCCACATCGCCGATGGCCGCTGATTGGCGCCTTGTTGCCCGAGTTGAACGCTTGATTGTGGGTCCATTCATTAAACCGATCTTCCCTACGCTGCGAGAATTTCAAGATCTGGAATACAAAACAAAATAAATTATATAGATAGAGCTATTTTACAAGTAAGAAGATGTGTAATTAATATTTGACTATTTTTGTTTACTTGGTTAAATCCATCAAAGAATCCGTTAATCGAAATCTAATATATATTTAACACCTAAAAAACAATAAAACGTTGATTTTGGGGAGAGAAAATGTTAAACTTCATTTTGCTATACTTAAATTTACTTGAAATTAAGTTTTTTAAATACTGTGAAACTATTTACTATTTGAGTATTAACAAATAAATGTTTCAGTTTGTTAAAATGTACGAAATTCCAGCTTACTTCAGCATAAAACCAAAATAGGTATTGGTGCTGTTCACTTGTAGCTTTACCTAATTAATTCAACAAACATTATACAAGTAAAAAAATAAACAAATTTTGTGATCCAAAATTATTCGAAATTATTTGTATAATTAGTTTTTTTTTAAGAATTTGACTTTTTTATAAACTAAGAGACTGGACAATAAAGAGCTTTAAAAGTTCAGAAGAGAAAAAATACATATAACAACTTGTAAGATATAATAATCAAAATCATCTGCCACACATGTTCCATTAATAAATAATTTTCATTTACTCCTTAAACGATTTGTTTCGAGTGTAGTGGTCAAGGCGGATGGATGACGGCGATCGGAGTTGGCCAATTTTCTAAACTCTCTCACGCTCTTCAATTGAACCAAACTTCCTCTTTCACTTCCTCCTCTGAGCACTAGCACTTGCACTCTCTTTCTCTCTTGCTCTCCAAGTGCTCACTTTCCGTCTCTTTCTCCACCGCCAGTTGTGCAAAACCGCTCGCTCTCGCCCTCTCTATCCGTCTCCCACTCTCCCTCTCTGTCTGTGGCGCTTTTCGTTGAAAAGCATCTGCAGCGTAATTAGCTGGGATCAGTTGAACGCTAACCGTGCCATCGAGTGGAAGTGGATTAGTGCCCGAGACGTGATCGCAAAGTGATAGAAACTGAACTGAGTTGAATTGAGTTGAAAAATACTGAGAAATATCGAGCCGAATCGAACAGCAGAGAATTGAATTGATTTTAAGGCACATCACGTATACGCCCTGCTGCCCACCTTGAACATGTCGCTGAGGAAGAGCTTCCTGGGATGCCTGCTGGTGGCCACCGCACTGATAATGCTACACCATGTCCAAGCCGATGTAGAGACAAACGAAGTGGATAGCGGAGAAACGTACAGTAAGTAATCGATTTTGTGGATTTTAATCAGAATGAAAATAGCAACACAAAAAATTAGAAGATAAAATTATAAACAGAACTCTGAAACTAATTTCGAAAGAAAAATATAATTAGTGATAATTTTTCACTTGTGTTCTTGGGTCTTAATTGTGTTTATGATTTCGTTTTAAAATTGTTTCTATATAAGTTCCGGACAATACATCTGTTGAATGTTTTATTTTATAATTAAATGACTAATAAGGAAAAATGGAAAATTGCGTGGAATTTAAGACAAAAATTACTTAGTTATATACTTATAAAGTATGATAATCTAATGATAATGTTATAGATTTTTCGATTATATGAAGTAATAGCAGAAATAGTTATCTAACTAACTTATCCTAATATTCAAAGCAAATCTAATCCTCCCTACCATATACAAATTATTCTTTATTCCCTCTCCAAATCTACAGTGCTCCAAGGCGTAAAGGTGTATCCCAATGATCGACAGTGTGTCCTGGTCGGCGGATTGTGCGTCCAAAGCGAGGACTGCCTAGAGCCCACCACAAACCGGGGCCTGTGCCCCTCCAGTGCCGGTCATGGTGTGGAATGCTGTTATGAACGTAAGTAAATATACCACCGTCCAGTGTCTGTTGCACCCTGCTTAAAACCCGCTTAAAAAAAATCCCATTAGCTCGACGCAAGTCGACCTACAACTCCTAAGCCACCACCTCTGACTAACCCTCACATCCATCCTATATAATTGGTACTCCGAAATATATCCCTTACTAATCCGAAACCTTGATCCATTCTGTATGTCCCGCTGCCCTCGAAAAAAACAACCAAACGCCAAAACGTCATCCCGTTGCATCCCATTGCAGTGCCGGTGAGACCAGCGCCCTGTGCCCAGCACTTGGGACAATGCATGGACAAGTGCCACCTGAGGCTCCATCGACCCGGTAATGACTGCGAGAATGGCCAAGTCTGCTGTGTCCTGATCTAGTTATACTTACGCATATTTAGAAGCAACACAAACACCACACTTAGACACAAAACATGCACAGGAAAAAAATCATCTAGTTGGGGCTGAGAATGTAAGCAAAGCTTTATGATATTTCAAATAGTTATGATAAATGAACCCAATTTTAATATATTAAATTCAAGAAAGCTTAATTGGACAGAATTTTTTTTTCCAAAGAGTAGAGGATATTTTTTTAATAAAATAATTTTATAATCGAGACTTACTAATATAAATTCTGGCAAATTAACTTTGAATTATGTTTTAAAAGTCCAATATAAATTCTTGGTATTTAAATTAGAATGATATTTTTTTTTGTGCAGACACCAACATAACACAACACAACAAAACACACACACACCGTACATAAACATGTATTTATTTAACTATATGTATATTAATTATATTGTACGAATACTTTTGTATGGCAACTTAGGAGTCCCCCTCATAACCACACACAACATCCATCCTCCCCCCAAAACAGCGTAAAATATTTGACTGCTTCCAATAATGCATTGTAAATATTTTCAAAAACAATTCTCTCTGCTCTTATGTAAGTATGAGTATGGATCAGCTGACCATTAATGGAAGTCTGATCCTCTCTCTGATTATCGTTATCAGTGGGGAGTTGTGCCGTCACGTGCCCCTCTAAGTACAGTTCTGTGACCAGAAGGAGAAGAAGAATCGAGAATAACAATAAAAAATTCAAATTGGATGCGGAATCGGGAAGGTATATATATAGACGATGATGAGGCAGCCCAAATCATGAGATGAAAACAAAGCTTATCGCGGCTCTCTCCCTTGAATCCCCATTCAATGTCAAGTTCAGATCCCCACAAAAAATTCAATTCGTTCTTTGGACTGCCTCTCTAATTTTGTATTTATATTATTTTTCTCAACTATATTGAGCGATGAGTTCCAAAAACAGTTCCAAACGAAAATAAACGACCTTGCGAACATATATCTTTACGTCCATGCGCCATGTACTCTCTGATATTTCGATATATACATGTGTTTGTTTTTTGTACATTTATTGTTTGTATTTTTCAGTTATGCATGGGATTTCATTGCTAATGTTTGGTCGCCTATTCCGTTCAGTTATTTATAGTCTATAGGGTCACTACAGTTTAGTTTTAGTACGTTTTCGGCCAGAGCAGTGCTCTTGAGTTGAATGAATCCGCATGCATGGCGGCATTGAGGCGTGAACATGTGTCTATATAGTTTGGAAAAGTTGAGGATTATATATGAATGGGATACTTGCGGGTTCTGGCCAACTCAGGAAGCTTTGGAACTTCTTTGGGAGTGAGTAGAAGACCAAAAATGTAACATTTTAGATGTTAAGTGGTCCATTACGCTTGGGTTTTGAATTAAATATGCAGTAAGAATCTAAACATTTTTTGTTTAGTATATGATTTTCTGTAAAAGGGTTTAAAAAAATATATTTAATAGTTTTTAGCATTTTCAACATATTTTCTTTAATTTTATGTTTGTATTTCATATAGAAAAGAGTTTTCATTTGGCATAAGTCAAAGATTTCTATATGTTGGTATTTGTAAGTAATTATGATCAATGTGAGTCGATTGATTTGATAAACAATATGGTCTTCATAACCTGATTAACCTGGATAAATAATAAATATAAAAGCCCCCTTTGAGTTCAAGATTAATATATATTCTTCACTAGAAAACCTATCAGAATTGGCATTAAGAGCCTATTATTTAGACTGAAACTGCTGCTCAGTTTATTGTTTACCAAGCTCTTTAAGAACCATATTTATTCCCTTAATGGCTAAGAAAACTGATAAACAAGTGATTTTATCTCGTAAACCTATAATATCTTGTAAACAAGTGATCAAATAACGATGATACTATCTCATAAGACAATAATATCTGAAAGATCCACATTCTCGACCTTCTGTCGAGTGCATTGCATCACTCTCGCTGCAGTCTAGATATTTCATTGCCATTGTCGTTGGCTGGCAATTAACCAATTCACTTAACCCGCCAATGCCAGTGACAGTGAAAACACCGGCCTTGTCTGGACACTATTTGCGATCTTTAATAGAATAGTACTATATTTCCTATACATTCTATATGCGGCAATTGAAGTGAAATCTCTTTACTGCGTCTTAGATTGCATAAGGGATGCAGTGATACCGCCTAGGAATCGCGTGAACCCGAACCCAAAGTGAGACGAGAGCGAGAGCTTGTCGTAATATTTTTTAGTAAATTTTTTATTTATTTTTAAGTCACATTTTTTTGTAGAAAAGTACCGGCGTTCCGTGAGGCTTATCAGGAGGGCTGATCAGCCATGGGCATGTCACATAATAAATTATTTATGTGGGTTTTTTTTTCTCAATTTGTATTTTGCTGTCATATTTCTATTTTGCTGTTTTCCAATTATTTTTTTTCGCATTTGTTTATGTTTTCGATTTCGTTTTTGCCAGCTAATGCCTCGCATTTGAACCAAAGCGAAACTAATAAAACTTTGTGTGTGTTTCTGGGGGTTTACTAGGGGCTTTTGTGGGGCTGGGGATAAGGCTCGGGTAACGCTCATATTTCATGTCATACATAGTTCGCACTCATTTTAAGCTTGACATAAAGCTGTGTTGGCGCTTGCGTCTCATATCCTGCGGGCAGTGCAACGCAATTTGCATCTCCGCTCCACGCTTCATGCTCCTTTGCTTCCTTGCCTCCTCGCCCCCCTTTGCCCTTTTTATTATTTGTCCTTTTTTTTTAATTTTTTCCCATGTGGCAGAGTGGAGAGTATAAAAGAAAATGATTTTGTGGCATAAATTAACGCCGAGAGGCACACGGAACACTATTAAAAAATACGGATCCGCCAGAGCTCACACACACACACACGGCTTCGTCCTGGCTTCGGCCAAAAGGATGTGTCTGCGGCGGTGCAAGTCGATGGCTTATGGAAAAGTCAGTTCCTGGATCCTGCATATTCGTTGCCAGCTCTTCATGTTTGTCAGAAGAGGGGCCTTGACTCCACGTCCTCATGCAATTAATCCTTTTTCACAGCCGGCTCATCCTTTGGCCCGCAAAATGACTTTTTAAGTTAATTTCTTGCTGCGTTGAGAATCTTCAGCGAAAAATGAACGTTTCACATATACTTTTATATATGGAAGGCCCATGCTTTCTTAACTTCTTAAATAAAACATCCATTCAACGGCTGACCGGTATTTAAAATGTCTGACATAAAGGTTTTCAACGCTATACTTCAATTATTTGGTTAGCAGAGTTGTTTTTCATTTTTTGTCAGGATCAACAGGTCGTGTCGTGCATTGTTTGCACCCAAATATTTGGGTTAGTTAAACCCGATTTAATGGTCCGCACAATGTCAACATGACAAACACATTTTCCTTAATCACACAGCAAAAAATACAGTGATAGTGAAAAGTGTGAGCTGGTCTTTAAAATAAATGAATACTAAAATATATTCAAGGATTTCGTAACTAATACAAGAGAGATAATTAAGATTTACCTCGCGTATCTTATTAGAAATGTATAAATATAAGTTGTTTTGCCTTTTAATCTTTTAAATTTCTTTCATAATTATATTAAAAATTCTTCTCCAGAGAGACTTTGGCTTACATAATGAATAACTCAACACTTTTGAAACGCACTTTATTGCCATCTTTGAGGACTTTGAAATTTCGATGCAAATTGGTGTGCAAATGGCATAAAATGAAATTACCCAAAATCCTTTGACAAATATGAAAGTGTTCCCCACCTGAAGACTCACCTCCTTTGCCATTTTTGGGTAATGCCATTAAAAGCGAACAAACGAAAGTGAAAATGAAAATGTTTTCCCATAGGCTGAGCTCTGTGGCTACACCTTTTGATGATGATGATGATGAACGTTGGTTTTGTTGCCAGGTGGAGATCCTGGCATAAGGACATCTCATGTTCATGCGTAGATGAGATGTATTACTTTTTACCCCTTCTGCCTCGTATAAATTCCCTTACAATTAGCCACAATTTTTGGTTGCGATGTAGATGTAGCTGACCCCCGGAGGCTGAATCTTCATTTTTTGTGTAACAGGATTAACCGCAATTTCTTTAATTAAAATTTCCATCATCACCCAACCACCCTCCGGTGTGGCGGAGTGGCGGGGTGGGAGGTCCTAAGCCGGGGCAGAAAAAGGAAAAGAAAAAGGATTGTAAATTACGCTGTCAGTCAGTCCCGAGTCAGTCACTCAGGCTGTCAACAACAATTAAAACGGGAAGCAGCGGCAACAAATTAAAAATTCATCTTCCGCATATACCATGGATTTGTATCTTGTATCTAGTATCTTGTAGCCGGGCATCCTGTGGCTCGCATTCGCATCCTGGGGTTACTTGATGTGGTCCTTTTTTTAATTTGATTGGCGCTTCTTGGTGCGGCGTTTCCGGTTTTTCTTTACTTACCACCTAGCAAGAACTGTTTCATGATTAGCAGCCTTCACTGAATGTGAAAGGAGTTGGTATCCTGAGGGCGGGTTAATTATTTTTTTTCCCTTGGATATTTTTGGATATTTGCTCAAGACACGAGGCCTAGTTACTTGGGCAGCAATCATCCAGACTGATTGGCTTTGAATACCTTCTTTTTTTGTAACCCTTTTTTTATGCTGCGAAGTTGCATTTTTAATTGAAACCTAATTTTTTAGGTGTTCTGCGAAGTATCTCAGAAATTGCCTCAGGTAAGAGAAGTTTTTTGTACACCTCGTTATCTTTATTAAGGGTCTCAGATATCAACTGATATCTCTATATACTATTTTTCAAACATTTTCCCTCAAATACAAAATTTGTAAAAGGTTGTATTCTCTAAAAAATATATATAATATTTTTACCAGATAGATAGTTAGTATATTGTATTTATTATGATATTATAATTTTAACTGATATCCTGATAAAGTTCTATATTATCTTATATTTATTATCTTGTATTTATTCTTCTAAATCTTCCTTAGATCTTAAAGTTTCTTATAAATTGTATTTAATTTAAATAATTTACTGTATTAATTCTTACCCCTATCATTTAATACCCTGGTAACCGCACACTTTTATGTTTTATTTTCCAACATTTTCGGGGTCCTGCAACTTTTTGACTTTTGTTGTGTGCAAATAATTTGCAGCTCGTTCGCTTGTTCGCTCGGCGTCATTAACAATGTACAGCGGGGGGGAAATGGTAGAAAGTTTTATCTAATTAATGAAACTTCAGCGCAACGTCAAGAAGTCGAGCGTAGGAACCCCTGGAAAACTCGTGGAAATCCAACGAAATTCGCTCCTTGATGTCGTATTGTTGACAGTGACGATACTGTTAAGGATAACTGGGTGGTGGAAGGGGCGCGGGTACAACGTGGCGTATGATTGCTTTTGTGTAAACAACCAGCCATGAACATATATATCTATGTCGCTCTCTGCTCCTTGCTCTTCATTTCCCATCATTTTTTAATACATATATATTTTTTTTATCTTCCGTCAAAAGTTTTTTAATTAGCAACAAAAAGTAAAGGGTTAAATAACGCGTTGAAAAGTTTCGGCAAGCTAACAATTAAGTTTCGGCAATGCCGCTGACACGCCTCCTTCCTTGCGAAAAGGGGGCGAAAAGGGGGGTGGCTAAGGGGGCGGAGGCGCGAGTGCAGATAATGAGTATTAAGCAACACTTACTCGCAATTAAGTTTTGCTCCAGCCGCCGCTATAGCTGCGTCCTTCTTTGTTGACTTTTTTCCGGGCTGTAATTACGCGTAATCGCAAAATTAATTCCTGCACATGACTGCACTGCTCACCGTCCGACAGGATAGCGGAAAAGGAAGGAAGGAAGTGAGTGAAATGCAAGGATGCTTGGGTGCAAGGATTCCGGATTGCGTACTCCCCGTCTGGCAATAACCCGCAGCCAAAGCCAAGTCAAGGATGCGGCCATTCGACCAGCAACTGGGACCGGGTATATGCATTAACAATTCAAGCGCACAGATAAAACCGCGTAATATTCATGAGATTTGTTTTATGAAGTGCTAACAATGCGTAAAGCTAAAGC